TAATTATAACATACAACGTCACACACACACTGGGGTCGATTAACATGTTTATAATTTCAGCTTCTCTGTCACCCCATCACACATTAAAAAAGGATTGCAGTTGTTTGTGGCAATAATGTTGTTTCAGTCCCAGAGCCATGTCATCTCATCAGGGCATGAAGCGTCTTTAGTCTCCGTAGTAAACTGCCGTGGTGTTTGTTCCATCTCACATGGGTCTGATCCGGCCCTGTGTCTGACCACCGTCCACCTCCCCCTCTCTTCTTCTGCGGTCACGCTCTCACGCTCACAGCCTCCACATGCTCCCTCCTTCCTCTGTGTCCGCACACTGCCACTTCAACGACGCTCTGTCCAAAAACTGCTTGAGTACTTAAATGAAATATACGAAGAAAACATTATCGCTCGTGTCCTATCAGAGGTCAGGTTCAAATAACTAGGCTAATGACTTTACGAGGTTGAAACGGCAGTAAGTAGGTTAGCTTTATAAGGACAGAGATTTACTGTTTGAAGTTTAAAGCAAATACGTGTCTGGGTGTGTTACTAGAATAGCTATAGGCCAAGTATAATAATTACTGCAAAACATGCCCCATATTGAATCTTTTTTTGGTTTATAGCTAAGTAAAGGTCGCTGCTACAGGTTACATTCACGTGACATTTTAGAAAGCCTCATTTTCAAGTGAGCTGGAAGGCAGAATTATGTAGTGTAATTTTTTTGTTTAACTGTCAGATTGCAGATTTATTGACCTGGTTTAGGGTTAATGTCTTTGTAAGTACTGGGTCGATACATGTGGAACAAAAACTACCACAAAGTTTAATGTCTTTGTCACTGTAAATAAACAGCAGTTTGGGAGCAGTTAGGAGTCTGTTTGATTGTAACTCTTTGCAGTTAATTCTCATTTAATTTCATTGTAAATAAAAAGTTTGTAAAGATGGGGTAAGACTGACTGAAGTGAGACTGCCAATATGCACTATTGGCCCAATCACAACCAACACTCACACGTCTTGTGTCTTGCCTAAGGACACAACAGTAGTTTTTTGGCCCCTGGCGTCCCACTGTGGTACCTGGAATTCCGAGTGTAATCTGTCAATTTTCTTAAGTGACAAGCATTTGTGCGGTTGTGCTGAAACATGGCACCAGGCTGGTGCCACCTATTAATTTCTGTTTCAGTTTCAGTTTCCAGCAACTAGGTTTGGAATCGGAATACGCTACACTCGCAAAAACCCCGGAAATGCGAGTTCAGGCACCAGCCAAACAACGAAGAGCCATACATTCTGTGTTGTCAATGATTCCCAAGATTGAGGATTTAAACCTGGAACAAAGAGAATGTTTGAATTTTATCAAGGGAAAAGACGTTACTGTCCTTCCTACAAGATTTGGGGAAAGCTTAATATACCAGTTAGCCACGTAAGCGGCACATTACATATGTCATGCCCAAATAGCAGGCGATTGGTTAAATGAAAAAGTACCCGCCTACCGTCAAGCGAACGAATTCTAATGCTGCGAGGTCAGATGCTTTCCACAAAGTGAAACTGGCTGATGAATCAGGCTAGAAACATGTACAAGCGCATATCAAATTTTCACACAAATTCAGCTCAGACAAGGCTAAATTGTGCAAACATATGAAGGAAATGCACGCAACAGTAGCTTGGCCTTTAGCCGTTAGCTGTAAGTTAGCTGACTTCTCCCTGACCCCTGTACAGCATCATGTATGTAGGTAAAGAAGAAGCTGAGACACATGCGGCAGCAGAGGGTCACATGACGCTAACAAGGCCATCCCTGTGGAGACTGTGCAAACCGCAGATAATCACATTACACTAAACATGTGCTGATGTCTACAGGAGCCAGATCCAAACAGGACCAGAGCTTGATATTATGAAGTAGGTCTGCTGTGTGAAATCCCCTCTGAATGTGAAAATGACCTCATATGTTTTTGACTGTCAGTGTAGCACAATACAGTAGTGTGGAAAAATGGAATTGTATGGTGGCTCTGATGGCTCAAAACAACATGAAAATATAAACAAAAATATAGCTGCAAGCAGCAATGCGGAGGCCTTGCAGCGTAGCTGCAGAATAGGCAAGTAATTATAGCACCCCCTAGAGACTGAAGGTCAGGAATTTTTCTGAGAGTCTAGAGTGAGGGGTCTTGAGTCCAGGTATCAAGTTTCGTGTCAATATGTCAAAGCGTCTCTGAGCATCGAGCTCACTTTCTGTCAAGTTTAACGTCCATTTGCCAGAAAACAAAGGGTTAAATAAAAATTACATTCAAAGTTTTTTTGTGACCATTGGTCTAAAGATTGTGTGTGCCAGAATCTCTTTTATGACGATTATTGCTCATTTTGTCAGAAAGTAATTTTACATAATCTCTCAAAATTCATCCTTGTAAGTCAACTTTAGTATGGTATCTCTGTTTTGTGTATGTTGTGCCAAATTAAGTTTTTCTTAGAAGGTGAGATTTTATAGACTCAGCCTTATAGTTCTAGATCTACTACTACTACTACTACTACTACCTCTACTACTTCTTCTACTAGTACTATTAACTATTACTGCTATTATTACTACTACTACTACTACTACTATTACTTCTATTCCTACTACTTCTACTACTTGTACCACTTCAACTACTACTACTACTACTATTACTACTATTATTTAAAAATAAATACTTCTAAAATTGTAATGCTGTTTTTTTTGTGTGGTGGGGGGTGCTGCCACAGTAACGCTAACAGCAACTAGCATGCTAACAGTGCACTTTCTCCTACATTAAAACACGTTATAGTTAGACGCTGATCGGTCTCATTTCTAGCTTAAGAGCAAGTATAAATCTGTACTGAAGTAAAACAAATTGTGTCTAAATACACAAACAAAAAGCAACAAAGGATAATCTTAATTATTAATCTGCTAATTTTGTGGTTTGATTCTAATAAATGTTGGATTATGGGCCTTGTCACAAATGACTATGTTCTCCATTTGCAGAAATAAACCACATTTTTCTTGACTAGTTTTGAAAAAGAATATTCTAATTCTTTGAAGTCTCTTGAGGACACTGCTTAAGCCAATTCTAAAAATACCTCTTATTTTTGAACTGTCAGCTCATTCCCAGATTTAAGGTAGAATCTCTCTTTGTACTTTTAGCATCCGTAGACATCCACTCTTCTAAACCCAGGCTGAAATCTGCAGCTTCAGAAGCAGCTCTCGTCTTTGTCCTGTATTTGCACACGCCCTCATTCACTTCAATGGGACGCCTCCTTGCAGCAGAAACCTTTCATTACAGTGCTTTTTATAGGCCTGCAGTGAAATGCACTAAGCCTATATTATGGAGAGGGTTTTCAGAATCACTCATGCACCTAGAGTATGTATTATGCAAGATGAAATGTATGACTATTAAAGCTGAGCTATGTCACTTTTCTGATAGGAAAGACTGCCACCTGCTTGTCTCCATAAAGATCTTATTATTTTGCATGGAATGTTTCACAGTATGGTATTAAACTTGTCTATCGAGCATTAAGGCAATTACACGTGTTATTGTGAGCAGAGTCGCCTCTCCAAAGAATTAACTTGTAACTTGGTTTGGTTTCTTGTTCCCATGGAGATAGATAATTTTAATAGCAGTGAAATTAATAACATGTGCATAGAGACGAGCAGGTTGCAGACCCTTCCACAGAAAAGTTGTCCCCTTCTATTTTACTTAACTTTTTAGTTGATCATCCCTTCATCATTTCTTGCATCGTTCTTTCCTTTCTCCTTTGCTTACTTCCTTGTGTCCTTCCTTCTTTGAATCCCACCTTCCTTTTACTTCCTTTCTTTCGCGTCCTTCTCTCCTTCTTTCCCTGTCTTGCTTTACTGATTTTTTAATATTTTCATTGTTGCTGTTGAATCTAATGTTTACTGATAAAAGACCTGAACTCTTATAGTTCTAAAAAAAAAAAGGTATTATAATCACAATTGAACCTGAGTTACCAGACCTGTAGATAGAGGACACATACAAGTTTTTTTCAGTATATGGAAGATTGAATAATCATCGTGAGAACCAAAACACCAAATTATAACATAAACAACTTCACAATTTTTTGTAATGAATAATAAAACACTATTGCAGTTGTTACCGATAGGGCTGTATTTGATTTTAACTTGTTCACCTCGTATCTGGAAGGACAGTTAGGTCATGTTTATGAAATTTTAAATCAGAATCTTATATACAGTTTCTCCGAGAATCAAAATTTTTAAACTTGAGACAATATGAATTCAAATTTCATTTTTTTTTTTCAGATTTATATAACAACTTCTGTAACAAGTCTAAGGAAAATGTGCATCATACTAACCTTGTCCTCATTTACCTAAGCCCACTGAACCCAACCACTCTGCTGTGTTCTGTGTTATGCAATATGTTTTGGTTTACACAAAGAGTTCTATTTTTACCTGAAGGTTCTTTTCACCTGACCCCATGTTGTGCTACGGGATAAAAACAAGATGGATTAATAGATTTTCTGAAATAAACCTCATGCCTTTAAAGCTCCTATATTACATAAAATTGGCTCCTGTGAGTTTATAAAGCTGTTACCTCATCAACAACATACCTGGAGTAGTTTTGTTTCATTCATGTTGCTGCTATTAGACCACACCTTTTTGATATAGCCACCACCCTTTTTTACACTACAGTGATTGCATTTTAAAGTATCCAGACACTACTTGACAGCAGATATTATGTAATAATAATTTAAGTTAGGATTGTAAGATTAAGAATGGACACAATTGGCAAATCTCAAAAGCGGCAGTTTTTGAAGTACCATCATTTCCTCCACAACCAAATACCCTGTTTGATTCTACTCAAAAACTTCTAACCTTGTATTTGCAAGCATACTTTTTTTGTCATCTCTTCTCGATGTGTTTAACTGAACTTTGAACAAAACTCTTTTATTAAAACACAAATTGCAAATCTATTCACAATGTAATATTTTTCCCAAATCATTCATCTCTTTATGTGTTTGTGTGTGTTTGTTTACAGGCTCAGCTGGAGGCTCAGAAGGCCACCCAGGACTTCCAGAAGGCCACAGAGATGCTGAGAGCCGCGAAAGAGACCATCTCCCTGGCCGAGCAGAGGCTTCTGGAGGAGGACAACCGGCAGTTTGACTCCGCCTGGCAAGAGATGCTCAACCACGCCACACAGAGGGTACCAAAAGAGAAAATATTTACTATTAGCTTGGGCTGCATCCATAGACTGTGTTGAAGGAGTGGACTAAGGGAGTGCAATGTTATCCACAGCGCTCGACTCCAGTCAAATGAAGCTCAACAAATTTTAGGAGTGAATCTGAAGCCAGTTCCACAATTTTATAACAGACGACACAGCAAAATAAAAAAAAAACACCAGGATCTTGTAGAGTGAGTTAATATGAACATTTTAAGACCAAAGTGATGAGGCTCACCCAGCAGTTACAGAAATGGGGGCCAAAATATTCCAATGTAAAGGCAATTGGAGCCAAAGATGATGGAGTTGAAAGCGTCTCCATGAACACTTCCCATTTCGAACACAACGATCAGCTATGTCCACTTCTTTATACAGTCTATAACTGCAACTAATGGTTATTGTAATAATCAGCCAGTCAGTGATTCATTTTTCAGTTAGTTTCAATTATTTCTATTTTATATTGAGACTTTTAAAGAGGGAGTATTATGCCAAAATGTACTTTCTTAATATACTTTATGACAATGTTCCCTAATCAAAATCGTGACTGAGGAGGTTTTATGTCATTCTTGCATGTTTGAGTAATTTAGCTATCTCTCCTGGGCCCTTTTCAAACCCTCCTTATAGTTGATTAGTTGCTGACCTACTGTTAGGAAACAGAGGTTTACTGAAAAGTGAATTTGATCTTGAATGTGTCTTGTTTGAGGTGATGGAGGCGGAGCACACAAAGACCAGGAGTGAGCTGGTGCACAAAGAGACTGCCGCCAAATACACAGCAGCCATCGGGCGCATGAAACAACTGGAGAAGAAACTCAAACGCACCATCAACAAGTCCAAGTAAGAAACATATAACATCTAACAGCAGGTTTAAAGGAGCTGCACATGATTTTTTTCTGTCTTAAAAACTTGAAAAACTAGATCGCTCAGTGATTTGCAGTGGTCCAAAGTTAAAGTCCTCACTTACCTTATGTATTCAGAACATGCAAATTATTCACAGCGATGAGTTTATGAGCATTTTTTATTATTATTTTTTTTTATTTTATTTTACAATTCATAGACCACCGTTACAGTAATGCTAACAACAATTAGTATAGTAATGCTCACTTCCTGATTATCGAATAATAAAATTCTTTCTAATTAGATTCAGACAGCAGACACAGACATATTTTGACCTCAGGAGCTGCTTATAGAATATATTTGTATTGGGGTAAGGCAAATTTTGCTCAAATATATGGGAAAAAAATCTGGTACAGGGCCAAACAAAAAAATCCTGTGTAAATGTGTAACATATTGCATAAATAAAAAAAATTCACTGTATACATTTTTAAAAAAAAACATTTTAATATCAATGACATCAGTACCATCCAAAACATTGCTGGGTTCATTAAATACTTTTTTGCAGCAACGACAAGGAAAATAATGGTAGAAATATGTATTTATGTTAATTGTCAGATTTTGTGTTGTTGTTGTTCTCTTTAAATTGATGCCAACAAAATAATAGCACGAACAATAAATAAATAGAAATAAATAAACTTTTTACCTGTGACTAGTATTTAATTACTAAGTAATTTTACTTTAAGGTGCACTGTGTAACTTTCCGAGTGGAGGGTCCGCTACCATGAAGATGTTGTTTTGTCTGGAATATTTCACAGTATGGTATTAAACGTATCCATTTCCACGGAGATGAGCACCATGCCAATTTACAGGTCTGAATTGTGGAGAGGTGGGCCCGCTTACAGTAGAATACATATTTTTCCAAGTATTGTTATATTGTAAACATCTATAATTACATAATAAGCTACTTTAATGCCATACTGTGGTACATTTCAGGGAAAGCGATCTCCCTGTCATATATTCATGGACACAATTACGTATCAGACTCCATACCAGAAATGTCACGTGCACATTTAATACTATATTCTGAAATGACAAGTGGCCTCTCTACCACCCACAGAGCCATAATTTCTCCCTCTATCTCACTTGTATCTTTGCATCTATGTTTTGTTTTGAGTGGGCTGGCAGCATATGTCCCGTGGTGATTGACGGCATGACTCAGCACTAGATACAACATCAGCTCCCGTTTAACGGTCCTACATTATGCGAAACTGACTCTTGTGACCTTTTAGTCATATTGGAATCTTGTTTCCTCATCACAATATACATATCACACCTGTTACTGTCTACATCTTCAAAGCTCAAAATGCTCTGTTTCACCTTGTGATGTCATGTGGTGGCAGTTTTGAAGTTTTTGATGAGGAAACAACATTATAACATAGACTAGTAGCTTTAAAACTGGCCCTTTTAATAGTACCTGCGTCACTGTTAGGCAAATAGTGATTTATTTCTATATGAGCCAGGTGATGGTGCTTCTCCTTTCACAGGAACCTGAAATGTCACTGTGAGGCTTGATCACACAGAACGGCTGTATTTAACCTGTCTGATGTTAAAGGGGAAGTCTGTGGGCTGGCTTCCTATTTTCAGTATTATGGTTTCTGAAACTAGCCCTCTGTGTATGTAAATTTTCGAGCACAGGTGGAGAATTATAACTGCATTTAATTACGATTATTTTAAAGAGCTCATATTTCTACAACTTTTATATACTCTATAAATACTCACATGTAAATATACTTAGATTTTTTAAGTACAATTTATCTTAAAAGTCATATAAATTGCAAAAATCTAATCTATATTTGATATTTTGGTTTAAAGACTTGAAATGATTTGAAGCTCAAAGCAAACGACTTGGACTCAACTTGGACTTGCCTGTATTTGACTTGGGACTTGACTCGGACTTGAGGTCAAAGACTTGAAACTTACTTGAGACTTGCAAAACAACGACTTGGTCCCACCTCTTTCCATACACCTACACTAGAATCACTTGGATAATTTCAGACTGGAATTGCCAAACTCTACTGAACTAAAGGTAAAAGATAGATGTTAACTTGAAAACAACCACTTCATGGCATCACAAGTTTGAACAGAGCATTGCAAACTTTGGAGATGTAGACAGACTAATAATGCAGGATTACTCAAACGTGTGAATGAAACAAAACACAACTCCAGATGTTTTTTTGAATAGGTAGCGACAGTATAACATGGCTTAAAGCTCACAAGAGTCAATTTTGTGTAATATAGGACGTTTAAAGTTGCACTATGTACTGTATTTTTGGAGATGTTAATGCTTTTGCCTGAAATATTCCACAAACTTATCTAATATACATTTATTCAAGTGTTTTGGTGGCACAGACCTGATCCGTAATTTGACCTGGTGACATCTCCTGCTTATCTACAGTTTGAAAAGTCAAAATTTAGTCATCTGCAAACCCTCTCAGGAAAACGTTCGGTGAAAAAATACTGGTCAAAATGTTTGCTTGACAAGCCTTCCAGAGCATTACTCATATAAAGTGACTGAGGTGTTTTGCCTGAAGACACAACAACAGCATGTGCTTTGTAGGAGCGCGTATCCAACTGCTGACTTCGTGGTTACTTGTGTTCACCCACCAACCACAGAGTCACTACCACAATACGAACTTTCATTTTACTTTTCAAACCAAATTATACATTCAAATTTTACTACTAAATATTATTACATTCAAACACATATTTAGATTTTTATAGATTCATGTATTTCAGGTACAGTATATCAACTTTTTAACAGGCTTTTAGTGCACTCTTATGTAACCTTAAAGTATTTATGCGTGTGTGTGTATGTATGTATGTGTGTGTATTTATGTGTGTGTGCGTGTGTGTGTGTGTTGTCTTTGCACAGCCTTAATCTGCTGTGCCTCATTTCCTCTTCCCACATCACACCCCCTCTTATCTGTATCTCCCTCTACCCCATCATCCATCTTTCCGTTGCCATGGTGACGCCTCTGATTCCTCTCTCTCCTCTCTTCTCCTCTCTCTTAATCATGTTTGGTCTGACATTATGTCTCTGCTCCTCTGCAGGCCCTACTTTGAGATGAAGGCCAAGTTCTATCTTCAGTTAGAGGTAAGAATGCATTATAAATTATATTCTGTTATGTGGAATGGTTATGTAAACACTAGACAGACCCAATTTTCAGGTATCAAGATTCAGTTTTTTTAACTTGTCCGTGAGCATTAACATTTGATAGAAGACTGAAATATGAACTGACAGTGAATGGAATAAAACATTAAAGAGACAGTTCGGATTTTTGGACATAGGACCTCATTTCCGAGCTCGCCAGAGTATTGGAGACATGTGGAGACACTTTTTTTAAATATTCCATCCAGTCGTTGTATTTGCAGAGGTCATTGGTGCTAGGCTAGTGCATGTCAATGGCCATAGTTAGCCTTACCCACTCCACAAAGCACCCGAAGCAAATCTGTTATTATCAGTGTGAATGTCTGTGTCGATAGAATAATTTTAGAAGTTAAAACAACCTTGCATTTGAAGAATTTATGTCTGAGCAGCAGCAGTGAGTTGTACTTCCTGATTGAAAGCTTGGCAGTGGCGGACTGATATATGAGAAAATAGTCCCTCAACATGCGACAATCCATGCGATGCAAGGTTAGTTTTATTTCAAACATTATTCTGTCAACACAGACATTTACATCGACAGTCTGGTGTAATAATAGATTTGGTTCGGGTGTTTTGTGGAGTGGGTAAGTGTTTTTAGTGGCAGGCTAACTATGGCCATTGACATGCACTAGCCTAGCACCAGCGACCTCTGCAAATACAAGGACTGGATGGAATATTTTAAAAAGTGTCTCCACACGTCTCCAACACTCAGGACCTCATTTCCTAGTGAGCCAATGTCCAAAATTCCGAACTGTCCCTTTAAACAATACAATAGTATGAAACATGAAAACAAGACATAAACACATAAAACAACAAAGCTCACCACAGTCTTTTCACTATGATCTTAAAGCATAATTTTAAAGGTACATTTTTTTATTTTCCCCCTTTTTTTCCTTTTAAAAATGTATTATTATTATTATTATTATTATTATTATTATTTTAATTTAATGATTTATCTTCATTTATATAATAGTAAAAAAAAATGTTAGTATACTTTAAATGGCTACTTTTCCATTATTAATAACACACATAGGCCACTACTTTTAAGTCCCCATTTATTTATTTATTTATTTATTATGAACTACTACAGGAGCTGGCGTGTTTTAAACAAAATAAGACTAAATGATTAGTTTGTAGAAGACATCATGCATTAAGTAATTCTCTCATGTTTCGTAATACCTTTTTTCCAATCTAAAGTACTGGTGAGGTGGTACAGTGGTACAGCTCTATATAAACCATATTACAGCTAACCTGTATCAGCCACTGCATGTTAATGACCCACATTTTAAAGTATTTTTGTACATAATCCATCATTACAGTACTTGGCATTATACTTTTGATAGCTTTATTGGCCAAGTCGGAACATTCGGATTAAAATGTATTTACTGTAAAGCACAAAACAATAAAATAATATGGCAATGGTACAATAATGTATATAGAAGAGCGCCACCTGCCTCTGATATCACTGTATTATCAAGAATGCTCTTTATGCACTACTCAGATGTTTGCTTTTTTATAATTTGGCTGCAAACTGTCTCCTTTTTTCTGAGGAGATACTCAGACACACTATCTTTGACTTTCTGAGCCATTCTTTTTTTTTCTCTTTTTCATTTTAAAGATGTTCTTCAGTTGATCTCTCTCACGTCTTCGCCATCATCTCTTCTTATTTGTGTAGAATCTGAAGAGGACTGTAGATGAGCGCCAGGCCAAGCTGTCCCAGGCCAAAGCAGACTACAAGAGCGCTCTGAGAAACCTGGAGAAGATCTCAGATGAAATCCACGAGAGAAGGCGCAGCTCCACCATCGGGCTCCGGGGCCCAGGGGTGGGGGCGGAGGGGGACAGCGTGTCTGGAGACGACCTTTCTGGATTCAAAATGGAGTCTGATGGCATTTCCAGTAAGTGTGGAGGACTCGTATTGTGGTTCAGTGAGCTGAGTATACTTTTATTGTATGTTGTGCAGATTAGCTTAGTTTAAAGTGCCTATGTCAGGTTGAACTACACATTTTACAAAAACATAGTTAAGATTTCTTTCTTAGTCTGGCCATTTTTTAGGTTTCAGATTTTATCCCTAATGTACACAGAGATTATTATTTGACAAATAAAAATATAAGCAAACATCTTTATTTTGTTGAAACCTTGTTTAAAGTATCAGAAAATGTGTTTTGAGAGTATAAATTGTGCCTAAATTTGTAAGAACTGTCCCTAGTGTGCTCTCCTCAGTATGGGAGACTCTACTTCCTGTTATTTTCAACATATTTTTCAACTTTTCTTCAGAAACTGCTTCTCGGGTTTGTATAAAACTGTAAAACTAAAAACTAAAAAAAGTATTATAACACAAAATTTAGTAGAAATTAGAGATATATATGTACTTTAACCAGTATAGTTATACATTTATTATTACCATTTATATTTTTTCTCTTTGATATTATAATATATTGCGAGGTGTGAGCTTCCCTTGTGGATCATTAAAGTTTGTTTAAGTCATAGTTTTCTAAATAATACAATGACACAGTTGCTAAAAATAGACATCACGTTGCAAAGTGCATGTTGGGACACCGCCTTAGACAAACAGACGCAAAAGAAAAGTCTGTATGTGATTCTCCTTCAAAACAGCCTTGTCATTAGGAATTCTAACATTCTGCAATATTCATTAGAGAGGAAAATGAGAGCTTCAGAGGGTCAGCAAAGTTACAGGTCAGGTGCTCCTCAGGATCACTGTGGATAAACTTCTCTTACAGACAATTAAAAGAAAAAATACGAGACAGTCCAACTGCGTTAAAAAGTCCTTTAATATATAAACAGGACTAGCGTTCTGTAATATTAAAGGTGCACTACCTAACTTTTTGGTTGAGGGTCTATCACCTGCTTGTTTCTGTGGATATGTCATTGCTCTGCCTGGAATGTTCCACGGTGTGACATTAAGCAGCTCTACCTTAGATTTAGTCAGTTGCAGATGGTTTTATAGCTCAATAATACCTTACAAAACAGGCATTCTGGCTGAGAGAAATAACATCTCCATGGAGAAAAGCATTTGATGGATCTTCCACCTGAAAAGTTATACAACACACCTTTAACTTGTTTTATTCATTCATAATTTCTAATTTTACAGTGTTTACATGTAGAACTTGTGCCATGTGCCAGTCTTTGTCTCAAGTGAGCTATTGAAAAGGAAGGGAAGAAAAGTGAATTTTATTATTGGGCCAAACACAGCCTCCAGACCATTTTTTGTGGCAGTCCTTTACTTTTCACTGCACGTTTGCAAAAATAGTCTACCCTTTTTAGACCCCAGACATTCAATCAATCAATCAAACTATACTTATAAAGCACTTTTCATACAAAAATTTAACACAAAATGTTTACCATGATTAAAAACAATGCTACATTTCCCTCCAACCACCGACTCAGCCCCCACAGTTGCCCGACCCATTATGCTCTATTGAAGCCTAAAGGTCCGCTGGCTCAGTCTCATCTGAACCGACTGCACCCACTTGAATTATTCACTGTTTTGTCCTCCAGGTTTGGCCTTTGATCGACCCTCTGCTTTGTCTGTCTTTCAATATGTGGCCCTTCATGGAAAAAAATCAGGCTCCCCTGTAGGGCTGAGTATCATTAAACAGTTGCCAATAAAAGACATGCCTTAATATATAGGCGCTGTCACGAAACACTTTAGTAAAATATGCCAAAAATACTTGATATGCAGATATATTGATGCAGCCCACGATAGCGATATTACATAAAATGAAACAATGCAAGATTTCGATATTTTTGAACACTCCTCCACCCCTGGTCTAATCTACAGGCTCACTGTATAGAGCTGTTCCTGTTGTAATTCTCTGAGTGAGTTTAAGTGCATTTATAAAGGTTATCTTAGAATACACAGGTCCTGTACTGATGGCATTAAAACTTGTCTGTTGTTTTTGGAATGTTTTACTAACCTTTTCTATAATGCTGATATAATAATATATAGAAATACATTTGGACACACTTCATTGACCCTAACTCAAAATAATTGTGGACCGTTTCTCTCTATGCAGTGACGTCGGACTGTTTTGACGATGAGCCTTGTGCGAGTGGCTCTGTAGTGTCTGAAGAGGACTCCGCCTCCACTTGCAGTTTAGGCTCCTCCCCCAGCAGCAGCCCCCAGGACCTGCTGATGTCGCCATTCACCAGCGCGTCCTCGCCCTCTTTCGACTCCGCCTCCTCAGACACAAATTCCTCCCCCTCCTCCTCCCCGGCCCCGCTATCTCGACCCTGCAGTCTGGACCTGCCCAGCTCCGTGTCCCTGTCAGACTTTGGGCTCATCTCTCCCGTGCTGGGCCCACGCAGCGAATGCAGCGGAGCGTCATCTCCGGAGTGTGACATAGAAAGAGGTGAGACACAGGGGAGGATTTAATACAGCTTCACATGTAACCGCCTAGACACAAGAAAAACGTGCAAACATCCAAACCTGGGACCTTCTTGTGCAGGATTCATGGTAATGTATAGTGTTTAGTATAGGGCACATTGTAAAGTGTTTACAATGTGCCAATAATGCATCAGTCTGTAATATGACACTGCAACATCTGGACAATTTATGCATAGATTGGCCAATGAAGTTTACTTTAGTTGGTTATTTGTTTACTGTGCTAAGTGGCCAAATCACTTCAAAGAAAGACCTTCAAAAAAACATTTGACCTTGGTCAAATAGGGATGGTACAAGATCTCGTGCCACAGGAAATCATGAGACAAAATTGCCACAAAATCGTGCACACATGAGAAAAATGATCTTGTGAGATTTTTTTTTCCATGTTTATATTTAGATTGGGCAAAATAGAGCCACATGTTGGTGAGTTACATCTCTTACAGTTCTAAAGAGCAGTAATAGAATGGAAACAAAACTATGAAATTAAATAACAAAATTGTGAGGCCAAAAATTGGAAACTTAACTGTGAAATGTATATATTAAGAATTATGTTAAAATCTCATCTCGTTCTTTTAGACTCATGGTCTTGTGGAAATTTTGTCTCATGCCAAAGAAACCTCACTAAACCTCACTAAAAATGAAACTGTTTTGATCAATAGGCATTTTTCCAGGTTATTTCTAGCATAATATGCAAAAACATTTTGAAAAAATTTTAAGAGCTTGTTAGTTAGAAAGTGTGAGAGATTTTTTCCTGTGTGTTTACATTTAGATTGAACAGAATAGAGCCACATGTTGGGTGGGTTACATCTCTTAGGGTTCCAAAGAGCAGTACTATATGGAAACAAAACTATGACATCAAATAAATAACAAAATTCTGAGGCCAAAATTGGAAACTGAATTGTAAAATGTATATATTAAGAAAAATCATCTTGTCTAGTTCTTGTGGACCCATGGTCTTGTGGAAATTTTGTCTTGTCCGACCCTTGCAATCTAATTTTTATTTGTGGAATCTGAATATTCAAAGGAAAAACAAAACAAAACAAAAAACATAAACATTGAAAAATTGTTCAAGAGATTGTTAGTTAGGAAATGTGTGAGAAGTCTACTAGGTATTATTAGCATTACTGTGACAGAAAACTGTAACTGTGAGGTTGTTAAGTGCACTGTAAATAATTAGGATGTTCTGAATGCACAAGTAATAAATAACCTTTGGACTCTTTTAAACTGTTTAAAATGACCTAGTTTTGTTTCATGTTTTAAGACGATAAAATCAGATACAGCACCTTCATGTTTTGCCTCGAGTTATTTCTTCTTCCAACATAAAAACAAACACATGAATTCTGATGGTGAACAGAAGGAATCCTGTCTCCTGATATCAGAGCTGTATGTGGATAAGTAGAGGAGACTGGAGCTCAGGTGGTCTGTATTCACAAAGTAAACAAAAAAGAGACACATCTATTTCTAACCAGGCAGAGGTCAGACTGATGTGGTTTTAGAGTCTATTCTGGGAACACGGGCTGGTACCTGCTTCCACCTGCTCCTCCAAACATGCCATTAGTCACAGAGGAGAAGAGAGGAGGAAGGGGAAGAGCGGATGAGCAGAGGAGGAATAAAAGAGGGGAAGAGGAGAGGATGAGTAGTAGAGGGGCAAAGGAGGAGGGAGTAGGGGTAGAGGAAGAGAAGAGTAGTGGAGAAAAGCTCACAAAATCATTAATAAATAATAATATAATAATAAATTAATAATGTATATGGAAAATAACTGACATTTTTTCATCTGTTGTTTAGGTGATCGGGCCGAAGGTGCTGAGGGCGACCTGGACAACGCTCCCGTCACCACCAACAACAACAGCGGGACCCCCAACCCCACCAAAACATTCAGCCTGGAGGCACGCTTCAGCTTCCTCAACCTACGGAGACCCAGAGAAGACAAAAGTACAGACAACTGCCCCCAGAAAAGTGCAGCGTCCGGGCAGACTGTAGTTATGGTCAAAGGAGTCTGATGGACCCGGGACCTATGGACTAGACTTTGATTGAAACTGTGCTATGATTTTTGTCCCCAACTGCACGCCATACAAATGGAAGGATTTCTCTTATTGAAGGAAAAAAGCACTTGGACATTAAAGGTGCACTGTGTAACTTCTAAGGTGGAGGATACTTGCTTGTCTCCATGGAGATGTTATTTCTTTGCCTTAGACTTAGACAAACTTTATTGATCCACAAGGGAAATTATTTGGACACAGTAGCTCACACATCACAATATATTAAAATACCATATTTTATGCCCTATTAGGCGCTCTGAATTATAAGGCACACTGTAATAAAATTGTCTATTTTCAAACTTTTTTCACAAATAAACCGCATTGGACTTTAAACGAAACACAACAGTTCGATGGGTCAGTGGGACTTTGTTTTGCGTGTTCACAATGACTCTCGGCTTTGTTCAATTGTGGCGTTTAGGGAGGGTGCTGTCTGGGACCATTGGATTGTTGACGTGTTCGCAGTGACTCAGTTGTTCAGTTGTGTCTAGAAGTGGCACATTGCACTCGCTTTTTCGGTTCATTCCTCCGTTCCGTTCCTCGTCAGCGTGGAGTGATGAGTGTGGCTGCGGGTGTTTTTCGCTGCGCGGCTCTCTGCTCCGTGCGTGTTTGCGTGCGCTGCGGATGGTGCGGCTTTGTAGTTTGCTTAGGTCGTGCTGGGACACCCGAGTGTATTCGTGTATAGGGTGCTCTGGACTGTGGGGCGTGCAGTCATTTGTTGATGGGGTTGGAGGCTTAAGAGTGCGCCCAATAGCCCGGAAAATACGGTAACAAAAAACAAAAATAATAAATTCTAAATAAGTAGCAACAATAGCAAGAGACAGAGACAAGTAAAAATAAAATGAAATATAAAAATAAAGTAATAAAAAAATATTGCCTGGAATGTTCCACAGTATGGCATGAAACCTATTTCCTTTACATTTGTTCAATTACAGGTGTTTGATAGCTCAGAAATACCTTAAAAAAATAAAAATTAGGTCTTGCCATGAACCTGTCTCCATTGTGATTACAAAGTGGAATAATCAAGGGAAATGGTAAGATCTCCATGGAGACAAGCGGGTGATGGACCCTCCAACAGAAAATTTACACAGAGAAGCTTTAACACAGATAAGAGGGGTTGCATTGTGCACTTGGAAAACCACTGGAACTGCACATTTAATAAAATTAAAAACATTCTCACAAATTGTAATGTGTACAGAGCGGCCATGTTGGTGGTATGATATATTTGATATAAGCTCCACATAAGCTAGTTAAGATTTTTTCATTGATAACATATGGAAGTTCTATATTTGCAAATTGCTGCAATATCTTAAAAGTTTGTTCTTTTAAAGAGTCCATATTACGCTACTTTCTGATCTATGTTATGTTGTTTTCTCATCACAAACATACCTGGAGTTGTTTTGTTTTATACACAAAAGCCTGCAGATTTACGCTGAGTTCTCTCAAACAGAAAACACTCCATCTTGTTTTCCATCTTGTAGTAATACAGAAAGTGTTCCACAGTATTTTAAAATTCTATACACCTTCACTAGAATCACTTGGATAATTTCAGCCCTGGAATTGCCAGTTTCTAAAAAGATATAAAATAGGTGTTAACTTGAAAACTACCGCTTCATGTAGAACAGAGCATTTTGAGCTTTGGACATTACTCAGACAAGTGTGAATGAAACAAAACACAACTCCAGGTATGTTTTTGATAAGGTAACAGCATTATAACATGGCTTAAAGCTCACAAGAGTCACGTTGCATATTGTAGGACCTTTAAAGTTCCATGGCAAAAAAATAATTCTTTTTACGTCAGCACTTAATAATGTAGCGAGCGTTGGAACACATGATTTCTCCCCAGTCACTTTGAAGAAACCGCTGTGTCCTTGTGTTTGTGAACTTTATCTTTGTGATATGTTCAGTGTAAATGATGTAAATGTTTAATGTGGTCTTTCACATCTGCTAAACCATGACCCAGCCCATGTTATAAGTGTTTTCTACTTTGAACAGAATGTCTGCGTTTGAATGAATGAAATAAAATAATGTGTAACTATTGCAAAAATGTTTATGCGCAGTTTCTTATTTATAATGTTGTTTCCTCATTACAAACATACCCTGGGGTCTGTTTTGTTTCATTAACACACAAACTCTCTGTTTTGTTCTGTGTCCTTTTCTCAAACTGAAAGCGTTCTATTCCACCTTGTGATGTGATTTGGTAATACAGGAAGTGTGTTTTTAAACTCCACACACCTGCACACTAGAATTATTTGGATGATTTCAGACCTGGAATTGCCAATTTTTTACTGAACAAAAGATAAAAGGTAGCTGTTAACATGAAAACTACCACTACATGACATCACAAGGTGGAACAGAGCACTTTAAACTTTGTAGACAGACTAATAATAATAAAGGATTATCATACTTAAACATGTGAATGAAACAAAACACAACTCCGGGTGTGTTTTCATGAGGTAATATTCTAACATGTACATGTTTAAAGCTCACAGGAGTCCATTTTGTGCAATATAGGACTGTTTAAAAGGAAATGTATGTGAGATTAATTAAAATTTCATCAGCTTGACCTATCTATGTCCCCATGAGGTATACATGTTCAAATCAGCTGATAACTATTCTAATGATTTTGGGAGTCAAGATCTGGAACGCTCAAAGCTCTGGGGAGTGTTCTGTTATGTTTTATAGAACTTAGTGATTGTATGAGCGCCACAAAAATCTGCCATGGACAATAGACAGTTCTGCATCTTTCGCATTTAATTTTTCAAGTTCTTAATTGTGTTGAGAATGTAAGAGTTATCCAGAACATATAACAAAAATAAACAGAAAATAAAACGCATGGATATATGATTTATTTGGCAAATACACTTGGCAACAACAGCAGCACTGAATCAGATCACTGCCTGGATTTAATTATAAAACAGAAATGACCATTACAATGACATTCTTTTGGGATGAAAGTGTGGTGTCTGTGCGTTAGAGGTCTACTTCTGATCCTGCTTCTTCTGGAAAAGCTGCTTTAAAACTGTGCACATGCTCTTTGTGAGGGCTAGTTTCATTTTGACAGATTTATAAACAGACGTCCTCCTTTCACAGGCACCCCAATGTAAAGACCATGATTATTCCTATTATTGTGATCACATGTATATTTAACACATAATTAAATAAATACATTATAATATGAAAATGTACCAACACAGCCCGTTTCTCAACTTAAATCCATAAGAGAGCTGTGTAGTCATGTCTTCAACATTCATCTCTTTGCACTGCAGTGTTCAAATAAAGCTCTATGGGTGTTTTTCTATGGGTATTCTGATATCTGATTCGCCAAATAGTCCAAATATCGGCACGATATTAATGATTTGTTAGAACTAGGGGTGCGCTTTATCAATTCCAGTCTGTAAACACAAAATAATGTCTATCCAAAACAAAATGGACTCCCTGTGGTGCTAACCTAACTGCTTCCTGAGAATAAAACGTCTTTATCAACCATTATTGAAGCTGGTTTGTGCTAAAGTCATGGATAAAGGAATCTCAATTTTGGCAACAAGAAAAACAAAAAAAAACCTATTTGAAAACATGCTATTGCAGTGCTAGGAGTAACGTTGGTGAGTGTATAGAATAACCCAATCACTGGGCTGATTGGAAGTCATTGGTACAGAATAAGTAGCCACATCTGTCAAGTGAGCCCCATGGCTGCTGTGGCTTCCCATATAAAGCCAACAAAGGTATAATGAAGTGATTGTGTTTTAGAAAATTATTATTTTGTTGGCATGCTTGAAGTATGTTTGAAGTTGGTGCCAAAGCTACACCACGTGGCCATGCGGGCACATCTGGCTCCATCTACTCCGTTTCCAATTGACCTTACACTGATAAATGTCACCCCTCTCTCCGCTGTAACCACTGCTGTGAGTCTCGTCATGTTGGTTTTAAAATGTTTGTATTAACTCGGTCTACATGATCCTTGTTTTCATTTTGCTGTTTTTTTGTAAATAAATTCTTATTCCTAATATAGAACTGGCGCCAAATCCGCTCCTATAACTGCTAGTGTCGGTGAGCTTCATTTAACTATAGCCAAACGCTATGGGTGACGTCGCACTCCGTTAGTCCACTTATTTAGACAGTCTACGGTTGGATAATATAGGTATGGCAATGTAGAGAGAGACTTCAAATTTAAAAACAATAGAAATAAAAATTACATTATTTTGTATTTTGTACTATCAACTGTACCATTGGCATTTATTGGATTATAATGATGATTGATTGTGTTTGGATTTGAGCTTGTCATTATTCAGTCTCTAGTATGAAGTTCCTCATTGAAGCTGTGATACTTTAACAGGAGACGTGGTGCTAAAGTCCAGGAAAAAGGGTCCCTCTTGTTTGGGCAGAAAAGTGGTGGGGATGACATTGTAGATACCAGCCGGGACGTGCTCCAGCTCCATATAACAGAAGCCACACCTGGAAAAAAAGACACACAAAATTGCCTGAATAATGGATGACGCGTAATAGATAATAAAAAGTTAAACTGAAAAAAAAAAGAATCTTTTTCCTATTTCCATTTCATTAAAAATAGAAATATAAAAAAACAAAAAACAACTAACTAACTATGTTTGTGTATTGTATCATATTCTGATTTGTACCTGTAGTCTCCACTGTTCTTCTTGTTAAACCCAGCAGCTCCGGGCTCACTGGACGTGGACACAGTGATCATCTCAAAGCCCACACTGTACATTCTGCACACATCATCACATTTATCCCATTTACATAACATATCAGCACATGTTATAAGCTTAATACAATACAGTTACACTTTCCTCACTTTTGTTATGATTGTTTTAAGACTGTTACTAGTCATGACATTAACTGTGGTATTCAGCTACTGTGAAGATAGAGCTAAAGAAACAGGAGTTTTCTATCCATGTGTTAAGTAACTGTTCCTAAACAAATAACGTGTCATATGTTGATTTTTAAATTATATGAATGTATTTATGACGAAAATTTATGAAAGTAAATCTTTAAACCACCATGCTTATATTTTAGACAGTAGATCAAAAATAATAACAATTGCTCAAAATTGTCAAAGATGCTCAAATTAAAAATACCCCAACTTTACAAAAATACATAAATAAATAAATACGTAAATAATAAAATCCCTGGAGACAAGCAAGACCTTATTCATTAAAGTTACATGTGCATCTATAATATCGTGCAAGACAAGTGTGACCACTTTTAATTTCTGTACCACTTTAATCTGCTCTGGATGACTACAACTCAAAAGAATGACAATATGTTTAGTAAAAGGATTGGAGAAAAAAAATTACAAATACATTAAACATTATTAGACTAACTGATAAATATTTGTAATGAAGGCAATTTAAAGCTGCACTATAACTTCACAAACCCATAAACAACATTTTTCTCAGTGTATTATATATAATATAGCATATACACATACCTGGACCCTCTGAGCTCGATGAGCAGAGGCCCTGAGCGCTCCAGGTTCATCTGGTAGATGGGGTTATGTTTGTATGAGTCCTTGTAGTTCCCACAGCCTCCTGCAGAGGCGCCCTTCCACTGACCATTTATCTGTTCACACACAAGGCCGCAACATAGACAATGAGTGAAAGCCATTTAGATATGCTACACTAATGTTACAGTTACACCAATGCTACATGTCCTACTGCTACAAACCAATACCAAAACAAGAGGGACAGCTTTTTGTTATGTTTTTTTTAATTAAAAAACTTGTCTTAAAAAAACTGGTCTTAAATATTTTCTCAATATTCTGAAAACTGAATTTGGGAAATGCTACTTGGCCTTTTTCAAATAACAAAACTTTGGTGTGAACCATTACTCATAATAGTCATAATCAAAATGATTTTTTCTTCATGTAGTCTGCACTGGAATGAGTAGGATCATGGTCTATGAATGTAGTTCCCTCAATGTTTAGCTGCTGCAGCATCTAAGAAAAACATTGAAGCAGAGGAGCTTGTAGTTCGACATCCTGTATATTTTAGAATGATATTTAACTTTGGTCATTTTGTCTTATTTGTTTCATAACATTGTTTAAGTTACATAATTGTTACTAACAATACATGTGTGAAATGATTTGGAAAAAAGTTAAGTAAAAACCTACCCTTTTGACGTGTGTGAATGGATTGGGGATCTTGGAGAAGTTGAATTTGCAGACAGAGTAAACCTGCACAGAGAGTGTAATCAACACATTCAAGAGAACATATGCTTTTTATGACACTTTTGAGCACCCATGTTTTGCTAATGCTAATGACATCTCCAGAGATGTCACTGCTTTTCAGGGAAGGTTCAGCAGTATGGGATTAAACTGATGTATCTTACATGTACTAAATTATAGAGCTTGTATTTTAAAAGTATAAAAATACATTCTGACTGTAAGCTGGCTTGCCTCTCCACAGATCTGACTTACCCTTAGTGTATAGTTGATGGTGTTCTGTTTCTCATACTGTGACACCACCAAAGTGAATGTGTGGGTCCCCGAGCTGGTTAGTTTGATCTTGGTCAGGTAGTGGGGGCTGTTGATACGGATGCCATCGATGTAGGGAGGGGGTTCAGCTGGAGTTAAAAAAGTAAACAAAAAAATTAAAATGGCTACTAAATTATAGTCACAGTTTAGCATTTGGGCCAGATATTTTCTTTGAATCTTACTTGGATAATACACTTTCTTTCCATCATTTTTGTAAACAACAAGAGTTATGAATTCTCGGTTTTGTGCAAAGTCATCCTGCAAGAAACATAACAAGTATATTTTAATGAAAAAAAAAAATATTATGCATTATTTGTATTATTATTGGCTTTTAAAGCCAATAATAAATTCTCTTGAATACTTTTCGTGTGGTATTTCATGTTTCAGAATTTAAAATAATGGCTATACTCTGACTATGGTGTTTTGAGGTGTACTGTACACCAAAACTCAGAACTGGGGTTAGGACGCCATCTACTGGCAAAAGGGGTCATTATTAATCAATTAACAAGCCTCAGGTAGGGTTAGCAAGTTTAATGTACATGGTAAAAATGCTCAGATTTTGATGTATGATCTTAAAAACATCACAGGAGACCTCTAGACTTTTAACTTTTCAAAATTGCCTGTTTTATGAGGCTTAGAAGGAGCAGACTTAATAAAGGTATGTTTTTGATGAGGGAATAACATTGTTAAAATTGGAGAGGTATTAAAAAAACTCACCTTGTCAGTTATGTGTCTTGTGAGGAGCACCCACACAGCAGCACCCCCTGTTGGAGACTGCACCTCCAGTCTGTACTGCGGGTTGTTGGCCAGACTGTACACGTCTTTTACAGGGCCTTGCTTTCCATCCCAACTACTGCATTAGGTGAACACATAAACATATGCTTTAGAAATTCCTATGAGTAGTACAATTAAATAAAACAGAATCATTTTTTGTTGGAATTCCCATTGTTAATGACATAGGTAGAGGTATTCTATTTTAAACTTTTCTTCTCAACTTTTTTCCACAAACTGCCACATAAGTGATGTGGCCATACCGGCTTGTCAAAGCCTGATCCCGTCAGATCTCAGAAGCTAAGCATGGCTTGGCCTACTTGGATGGGAGACCGCTGGGAAAATCGCTGTGTCCCTAGGCAAGGCACTTCAACCACACTGCCTAGTATGAAAGTCTTGTATGCATGAGTGTCGATGGTGGTCGGAGGGGCCTAGGGCGCAGATTAGCAGCCTCACTTCCCTCACTCTGCCCCAGGGCAGCTGTGGCTACAGTAGAAGCTTACTACCATTGGGTATGGAGTGAATGAACAATGCTCTGTAAAGCGTCTTTGAGTGTCCAAAAACTGATGCATTACTATTATTATTATTACTAACTGATGTAAAACTATGATAAATGTGTACAACAGGTACTATTCCCACAAAGTCACGATTAAAGTGCACTTTAATCTTAAGTTGTTCCGACCTGTGTATGCAGAAGGACTCTTTAAAAAGGCCGGGGTTCCAGCTCAGGTAGATGACATCATAGTACTGGCACAAGTCCTCCCATGAGATCCAAAACACACCTCGAAGGAAAAATCAAACATAAGATTATGGCAGGAACAGTTTATCTCTTCAACTTAGATAAAACTGTGTGGTGCAAACTTTAACCCAAATTTAGGCTTGTTTTGGAGTTTGTGGTCTCAGGTTCACATTCTAGCATTTGGTAATGTTATAATTTCTGACAGAAGGCAGGGACCTATGTGACTCATGGGAAATATACTGTTTTTGAAAGAACGGACGATCCTCATGTTGAATCTTAATATTACTTATTCTATAGCTATTGTGTATCTCCCTTTGTTTATTTATGCTGAAAAGATGTTGAACTTTGCACCAGTTTTAGAATGTAATATAAAAAAGTATACACTCAAATTTCACCTTCTGTCTGACCATGGCTCCCACTGACTTACTTTGGAATCACTATTGGGCAAGTTATCTCAGAACTGTAATGCGTTATTTATTACTTGTTACTGTCATTCCAAAGTAATTTGTTACATTACAATATTACTGTATTTAAAATGTAAGGCATTACACGACTGTTACATTACTTTTAAGTTACTCTCACCAAAATAACTGTCGCTGATTGTTAAATAACAATCAGCAAGCGAAGATGCCAAAATTTTTGCACCCTATATGGACTAAATTAGGACTGAACTGAGGACTGAACTGAGGACTGAACCAGGAGGACTGAACCAGTATTGAACCAAGACTAAACCAGGTCTAAACCAGGACTAAACCAGGACTAAACCAGGACTGAAACTTGGACTAGGACTTGGAATCTAGAACCGACCCTGAAAGAAACCCGAGTCTGTGGAGCAGGGTGTCCACAAAGCGCGATCGGGCATTGGCTGAAATTAGCTCCATGTGGTGTGAAGCTCTGCACCGGTCCTTTCACCCGCAGTCACCCAACAGTCTACGTGGGCGCACCTCTGCGCCCGTCCCAACATTCTGAACTGTAACAATGGCATTTCACTTCTGCTGTTATCGCGGTGATTTTAGCGAATTTGTATGAAGAAAAACAAAAAACCCACCACTTCAATCCAGGTTAAAAAAGCATTGTAATGCGCGTTACTGAAATTTGTACCAAGTAAAATATTAAAATTTTTTTACCCTGTAATGCCTTACATTACTGCGTTACAGCAAAAAGCAATGGCTTACAGTAATTCATTACTTTTATAATGCGTTACTCTCAACACTGATTGGAATATTGTGGCCCCTCTCTTTCTAACTGCTGCAGTGAGCCTCGTCATTTTGGTCTTAAAATTATTAGTATTAACCCGTTCTACATGATCCTGGAGTTTTTATTTTGCGATTTTGTCCATTAATAAATTCCTATTCCTAATATTTGCCCCTGAAATCAATAGCATCATGAACTTCATTTGACTGAAGCCAAACGCTGTGGGTCACATCGCAGTCCCTTAGTCCACTTCTTTGTACAGTCTATGGTCTGTCTATATAGAATGTTGTGACATAACCAGATACCATTATCAAACTTCTGTGCTGTCTTAGGGTCAAAGTTGAGGTATTTGAGCAGCTCTGGAGTCCAGTTCTTCTCGTCCCTCTCACTGTAACGTCCCTTCCACCTCAAGTGACTCCATGGATTCTTCAACTGCAAGAAACGCATTCCCTACACAAACCAAAACAAAAGCATTAGTATTAGCATTAGAAGAGTAGATTCAGGCTTTTACTTTTTTTTTATTAAAATGAAATGTGAAAATGTCCCATTAAACATCTATGGTGCTACTAGGCCAAGTTACAGCTCAGATCTGTGGATAAGTAGCCCTGCTCTCAGTAAGAATACATGTTTTCCAAGGCAATAAAATCTCATTTAATAGAATAAATGTAAAAAAAAATATAAGTCTAATGCAAAGCTGTGGAACATTTCAGACAAAGCAAAACTTCTCCATGAATACAAGCAGAAAAGTTGCACAGTTCACCTTTAACATATCAAATTAAATATCAAATATACATCAGGGGATAGCAACTGATGTCAAAATTATACAGAATACTTACTTACTTACTTAATATAAAAAGAAAGAATATACAAAAGAACAATATTTAAACAAAATACAGAAGAAAATAATGCTGTAAAATTATAAATATTTTCTGTATTTATTATATATTGTATGTTTTAATAGCTTTACCTTATCTTTTTATTGTATTTTTTTTATCATTTTGATTGATCATTATTGTAGCAATGCCTGTTTATTTTTAGTCCATTTGAGTTTGAGTATATGACATTTAGACAGCATAATGAGAGACTGTATGAAGAAACAGGCTTTTACCTTGTATTCCCTTATGTCAAGAACAGCATAGGCGTGTGTGGGCACCAGGCCCCATCTCTCCCCTTCCTCATCCGTCATCACTCCTGTCGCCGTGGTGATCAGGACGTCTCCTCTGTGAAATCTAAAATAAAAATGGAAGAAATGTGGAAATGTATTATTATGGGCTTTAGAATCATGTTCATATTTTGGTTTGAAACTACAATAAGTTCTAACTGAGTGCATAACAGGATCTATGAGAACCCTAGATTGTATAAAAAAGTGGACTAAGAGGCTTCAGTCAAATGAAGCTCATGAGGCTGGCAGATACAGGAGCGAATTTGGAGTCAGATCCACATTAGGAATAGGATTTTTTTTATGTACAAAATAGCTAAATAAAAATAACCAAGATCATGTAGAGCAGGTTAATACGAACATTTTAAGACTAAAATGAGAAGGCTCACTGCAGGAGTTACAGTGAGTGGCTTGAAAATTTTCCAGTGTAAAGTCAGTTGAAGTCGATAGAGCTGGAAGCACCCCCATGAACACTTCCTATTTGGAATGCTGTGGCTAGCGGGTTATCTATGTGCATTTATACAGTCTATGAAGAGAACTAATGTGAGTTGTTAAGCAAGTAGTAAGTAGTAACTTAAACCACAGTGCCCTCTACTGGATGATTATACTAAATTGAACTAATGAGGTAAAAAGGATTGTTTTATGTATAATATTTAGATCATGGAAAATGACTAGACTGTGTTAGAGCCTCACCTCTGGTGCAGCATGCGGAAGGTGCCGTCTTTACTGAAGGAGTGATTGTCTGAATGCATAGCGATGCGCTCAGGGATCCAGCCTGTGAGCGCATGGAGGTCGATATTCTGGATAAAAAGGTACAAAAGATGTTGTTGATTTGCATAGTATGTCTTGATGACTTAATTTGAGTACTTGGCATTTGTAGGTGTAATGCCTGCTTTCTGTCACATGATCGTGATACATGAATCAATTAGAGCTTTCTTGTGAATGACTTAAGTTCACACAAACATTTGTCACATTAACACGACCATCTCCTGAGACCTTTGACTGAGACACAAAGGTGACTGAGAAACGCAGTGTAAATGTTGCTGCAGCAAAAGTTGAGTTTCCCTCGAGATCAATAACGTATCTCTCTCTTTCTCTCATCTTCAGCTGATGAACAGAACCAGGCACCAACAGTAGTCATGCAACTAACCTAAAGCTGAACACGTGTGTGTCTGGAGCTCTGACTCACCGAGTTGGACCCAGGGAAGTCGTAGCCCCCCATCACCTTCATGTAGGCCTTCTCTATGAGGGACACCCACAGCTCGTTCCTGTTACTAGAGTAAGAGCACAGCAGCTCTCCATTACGGTCCACGGGCAGGAAGTCATCAATGATCACCTATAGCACAATGCATTGCGATTAATGTTATTCATGTTATTAATGTTATTCTTCATGTTATTCTAATTAGGGCACATTTGAAAAGTACTGAGCTGCATTGTGTACCTTCCTGGACACTCCGTTGATGTGAAGTTTGACCATGTACTTCCCACAGGGATTATACTCAGGTTCTCCTTTTCTGTTCTGAGGATAGATGATGCTGATACACACACACACACACACACACACACACACATTACAATGTATTTAAATAGAGTAAATTTATATAACGTATATAAAATAATAATGTATAATACCTGGTGATAAGTTTCTTATTGTAGCGTCTCTCATAGGCCGCGCTGATTGCAAGTGAAGCCACAAATGAACAGTCAGAAACAACTGTCTGAAAAGGATAAAGACAACTGTATTCAATTCAAAATGAAGACACAAGTAAAAAGTTGCACAAACTTGGAAACAATGTATAATTCAGTTTTACATTAGTATTAAGATTGCATTTAGATTTGCAATGTTGTTAGATTTTGTTCAGAGTGCAACTTCAGGAGCATTAACAAGGCTGAAATATACCATGTATTTCAGAACATGTTTGTAAAGGTCTAAACAGAACATTATCTATTATCTAAATAATTGCGGCTTTTGTGTTTTGATAATTATACCAACTCAAATAATTATTTGCAATACTACTGTGCACTATTGTGTGCTGTATGAACTGTACATATCTGACCTGCTTGATGCTGAAGCTGGACACAGACATGATCATGGTGGGGTTGTTGCAGAACTCGTCCGGTCGAACCCAACGGGAGAAGATGGCTCTCTGTTTGGGCGATAGGGCCAGCTTTCCCACTTTGTCTCTACAGAGGGCAGCAGGTCAGGTCTGATCGTCAAACATGTATGTATGTGTATGTGCGTGTACGTGTGCATACGTGTGTGCGTGTGTCTGTCTGAGGGTAAACTCACGAGAATGGGACAGGGAAGGCAAAGCGCTCCTTCAAATCCACACTCATAAAGGGCACGTAGGCTATTCCATTGATTGTGGAGGTTGTCCTAAAAGGAAGAGAGACATAACTCTAAGAAATGTTAAATGTTAAATACTATAGAAGAGATATTTGATTCAATTGATTAAAGGTGCTGTATTTGATTTTTACTGTCTGAAAAACAGAACTAGTTTTGGTCTGAAGTGGTCCAAAGTTATTCCTTACTTACCTTATGCATTCCAAACATCTTAATCATTCATTGCAGTTTACAAAAGAGCCCTGCCCTTTTCACAGTTCTTACAACTCACAGTGTGTGAATTTTGCAGTGATAGTAACGCTAACAACAACTAACATGCTAACTGTGCAGTCCCCAATTGCAATAAAACACAGACAGTACACAGCAGACTTATTTTGACCTCAAGAGCTGCTTATACAATATATCTGTGCTGAGGCAAGACAAATTCTCCTCAAATACATGAGAATAAAATCAGGTACAGACCTTTTAATGATCGAGAATGTATGAGCAGGTATTATCAAACTGACCTGAGAACTTGGATCTCCTCCGCTGTGTACTTCTGTCCTTGGGGCTCACATGACTGCACTGCTCTCACTGGCTGAGGTTTGTCGTGGAGGCTGAAGTCTGGACCTAAAGGAAAGAACTGTCTGACCGGACCCCCAGAAGAGACCGGCCGCGGACCAGAGCCTCCTGCCCGGTCCGAAGACTGTGCTGGACCAGACTTGTACTGGGGCTCTTTCAAACCCTCCGCCCTGAAAATAAACACCAAACATGAGTAATATTTGTATAATAATAAAGTAATAATTGTTCAATTTTTAGTAGAGATTAGCAAAAAAAAATCACAGTCAAACATGCTAAAATATATTTCAAAACAGACTTTGCAACATTATAATAACTAAGAGCTTGGCAGAAGCCTGTTCCAATTACTTTGTCAGGAATGTTCCTCAATATGGCATTAAAATTCCTGTACCTCATGGAGACAAGCAGGTGTTATTTACAGGTTATATTTGCAGAGAATCTTTTTATGATATTTTTGAACCATAAAACACCCAAATGAAAGCTAGTTAGATAGATCAGTTTAATTACATATTGTGAAACTTTCAAGGCAATGCAATAATATCTCCATGAAAACGTCCAGGTGACAGATTCTTACAGTTACATAATGCACTTTTAAGTAAATTGAATGTTATGAAACAGCCTATCTCCCAAAATACATCTCAAAATAACACCAAGATAATGCCAGAAATCTTGAAAAAAAAAGTTTTCCATTGAATACAGTTACAAAACAATCCATGGTCAACAATTTTCACAATGGCAAAAGTGGCCACACAAAATATTCAGATTCTGGTTTATTCAGAAAACATTGTAGACAAGTCTAGTACCTGTCTAGAGCTTGCCGAGCCAACTGCTTCAGTTTGTTCTGCAGCACCTGGTCTGTTGTCTCATTTGACTGTTGGGGGAAAAAAAATGTATTTAGAGCGATTTGTACATGTTTGACCAACGTTTATTCTCCTGTGTTCAACAGGAGAATCCTATCTACTCCCGTTTTCACTGGCACCAGTACACGCCCACTTTCCTGTTATAGGTATTTCACTGGTAGTATAAAATTTTACTTGATCTTTCAGAGAGTCACTTTGTTGTGACAATGTTAGCATAATTAAATGTTAGATACATTTTTAGATCAATATTATGGTTTAAAATGTACAAAATATAATAATCCACAGGTGTTATAAATGATAACTATATAGCATTTAACAAAAGTACAATATGTATGTGTATGCCATGATCATTTTGAGGTGTGAAAGAGAACAACAGAAAATAATACACTTACATTGAAGAAGACGACTGACATGATAAACATAACATCTGTCATTAATTGAAGCCAGTATGTGTATGCACCGTTTGAATGCAGAGCTCTACAGCCTGTGTGTACAGTTCAATGGCCTCGTCCAGGTTCCCCTTCTCATCTTCTTCAAAGGCCTGAGTGACCAGGAAGTGTGCCCGCTCGAGATCCACCTGCTGCCGAGACTTCAGGGGGTCACTCTGCTGGGCCTGGACTGAACAAGAGACAAAACACATGTAAATGGTTAAATTAAAGAAACAAATATAATTCAATGTTCAATGTTTTACACAGTTCTTATTGGTAAAGAGATGTTAAAGGGGCCTGGAGTTCGCTGCATAGGGCTATTAGCAGGACTAATGCATATTGTGTTAAAAATTGTGGGATTCTTCCATTGTGGTATTGGTGTTAAGTTTGAACTACAACTAAAATTTAGATTGAAATTGATTACTGTGACAACACAAAACACTAAAGATAAAGAATATGAAATAAATTTGATCAGTTAATTGTTTAAAAGCCAAACCAGGAGAAGTTTAATTCTAATGTTCTTGCACAATGTCACTGAGAGATAAAAACATGTAAGAAATGTGGTGTTTAAGACAAATTTCCTGCTGCATTGTCATTGTTTATATCAGACTTAGAAATCTGTATTCTCTTCAACTTATAGAAACACAAGTTACTAAAGATCAATGACAAGATCTTTTCAGAATATTCCCATGTTACAACTAAAGCAGAGTTTATAATGTCCAGATAATTTCACTGCAATTTTAAAACATATTTATATAACTGGTGTTTGAAAAAATTAATAACAGTACATTAATATTTATGGCAACAGTGCATATGTTTAGTAAAATTTCTGGTGTTACATAGTGTGGCTTTACATAGTGTGGCTTTAACTCAAAACACTAAGCCTGGCCTATGTACTGCTGCTTTGACCAGTGTCTATACCAGTATTCTGCATAAATATAAAACATGAATGTAATGTAAATATAATAATTATATAAGATTCATAAAAATATATATATATATATATACAATTAAGAATTAATAATAATAGAAAGAAAATTTGATCTTGTAATTCTCGTGGAATAGAATATAGACATTGCACAGTGTATTAGACCTTTGTATTGCCCTCCTTTGCTAGTCAGTGCCTTACAAACATTAAAGCCACACCCACTCTGGCTGTGGTCATCTTTATAGCACCCACACCCAGCCTAGTCATGGAAACTAACTAAGCTAGCTAACAAAGAATGAAAAGAAAAACCCCTTGTGCTTATAATGTATTAAATATCTAATTGATACATATAATTATACTACCAGTAAACAATGACTTGTTTTTGTAGGTCAGTTATGTCAAGTAATGCTGTCACGATACTAACATTTCAAACTAAATTTTGATACTAAGGAATAGACTAGATACTCAATACCGATACCGAAACCACAATGAAAACACACAAAAAAACCACTCCTTATTTAGAGAATAGAATGTGACTTTCAACAATAAATAATAGTACTTTCTTTTATATTACCATGTGGTGTTATAGCCTATGTATAGCCTGTGGGCTCTAGTGTATGTTTTAATTTCTCTTTGTACCCTGTGTACATTATATTTGAGGTCATTTATGTCTGTTTGTATTCTCACTGCCTTTTAACTGAACTGCATAATTGCCGTGTTTTGTATAACTTTTATTTGACGATTACCATGTTAACCATCCAAATAGGGATGAAAAAGAGCCTCTCTGACTAAGTCTGGTACATTTACAGAAATGTTGTTTAATGTACACTGTCGTTACCAAAAAAAAAAAAAAAAAAAAAAAAATCCCTCACAGTTGTTTAGGTCAAGCTACTTAGGAAAGGCTCATTTCTATCCTGTGAATGTGACTTTTTTTATAGTTTAGTTTTAGTTTGAACTGATTCTACTTTCAGTATCGATTAGTATTTGATTTTCGATACGTTTGACAATCCTAATGTGAAGCTTACCTGCTCCATGAAGTGCTTGTACACGATCCAAGTATTCGCTCACTTTGTTTTGGATCCCCTCCAGTTTGGACCCAGCCATTGCAGCATAAAGCAGGGCTTGGGCTGCCTCCTAAATAGACAACATTAGAAGAAATTATATTAGCAGAAATATTTTGAAAATGAATACAAATGAATGAAAAAAATGTTTGACAGCTGTAATGGAACTGATCAGTAAATTATGTATTACTGATCTAATATTGATTTTTGCTCACTAACGTCATGTCCCGTACTATGGCTCATTGGGTGCCATATTGGATGTATCAAACAGCTAATCACTGACTTATAAGAGGAAGAGATGGTTATTAACATAGGAAATAAAAGCTCAAAATCAACTAAAACTGATTATAACAATAAATAATGATAACTTTGGAAGTTAATGCATGTTTCCCTTGCAGTTTACATTTGTTTACATTAGCAACTATAACCAATATGGCCGCAAGTGGCAAAAAAAAATGTATTTATTCAGATTTTATATTAGATCAACGGTTATATGAAGCTTAACTAATAAATAATAAATCTTTTCGTAGCAATGTACAAAGATAAGGTGTTTTATTTTAGCGCAGTCTTGTTTTTACATTTTAAATCTTCATTGGTAAAGAGATTAAGTGGTTTTATTATTAATAGTTTGAGGTCATTTGCGTATGTTAAAAAACTGAAAGTAAAATACAGATTCACAGTCAGCGACAGTCAAGAAGAGATAGAAAAAAAGAACTGTAGTGTTTGGACGCCATTTGTAGAATACAACCTTATAATAAAACACAGCCTCGTTATATTTCCCATTTTGATCGTAGGTAACAGCTGTTTTGGCAAATTTGACAGCGTCGTGTTCCAGCGCGGTGCAGTCCATCCTCGTCCGGACAACAGTGACAGCTACAGAGGCGATCAACAACTCCGCGGTAAAGCTGCTTTAAAAATCTCCAAATGTCGTTTTTGGACCTGTGTCACGGCTTATAAGGTAATATATAAAACGACATGTTGGTGGGGTTCTATTTGAGATTAATAGTCTCATCTGCCCCACCACAGCATGACTTTTTACTATTTGACAACTAGCGGAGCTCAAGCAACCCAAACAAGCACGGCGCTTCCGGGGAATGTCCTCACGCATGCGCACTCGAACCTTATCGCTTTTATTTGTCTATTTTAATGGTCAAAACTATTATATCGCGTTTAAATGTCATACTTCTACTGCGGCTAATACTAATAACAATAATTATAGCTAGAGTTCAAATTACATGAACATTTTATGGAATAGGAAAAATCCCTATTAATACTTCGCAGTTGCATCACACTGGGGGTATTCTACATGGATTTTTATATAGTGGAATATTCTTCAGTTACCATGGTGACAGAATACAGACAAACGCAGCCAAAAAAGGTTGTCTGAAACGTAAAAATAAATAAATAAATAAATACAAAATACAAAATAGATTTAAACAATACATTTTCAAGAGCCCGTGATCAATGAGTGTTCATGGTCCTGTTTAGGAGTTTAGTTTTCAACAAAAAAAAGTGAGAGTGACTAACTGAAAAAACTAATGCTAGCTTGTGACCAGGCAGTCTATGTTTGTGATTGTAATTGTATGTGTAAGAAACTTGATTAACAGCACAAAGCAGCTCAGATTTAATAGTTCCCGCTAAACCAGCTCTTTCTGGTCAGATTGTGTTAAAATAAAGATCAGATTAAAGTCTAAAATGAGTAACAGAGCTTTAGACAGAGCAGAGTCTCCAGTTAGCCTTACAAATAAATGGTCAGGATAGTAACTAAGTGCTGATTTGTCACAACACTATTTGTCATAATTAGTGTCAATGTTTCTACAGTTGAAAACAAATAAATAATGAATGGATCGTGTAGAGTTAATATGGACATTTTGAGACCAAAATGACGAGGCTCACTGCAACAGTTACAGAGAGAGGGGCCACAATATTCCAATGTAAGTCAATTGGAGCCAGGGCCAGTAGGAGCTGGAAGTGCTCACATGCAAACTTCCTGTTTTGGAACGCGGCAGCTAGCATGTTAGCTATGTCCATTTATATATACATCCTGTTGTCAAGTGTCAGTGCACATGTGTTTCAGCACTGTATTTCCCATCATACGTTTGGGCATATACCCACCTTCACCCCCTTGCTCATCTTAAACACACCTATTGTGAATGAAAAACATGATTTTATCAATTGAATCTAATCTTTGACCAAATCTAAAAAACAACATATTATTATTATATTTTTATTACTGTTACACTGCTGAACTAATTGCTCAAATGTCTTGTTTCAGCTGGGTCTTGTGTCCTGGGATGACCCTTAGATATGGTGAACCTGTGAGCAGAAAAGTGGCAACAATGATTCGCTGTAGTGTCTTTACAGATTTCTACAGATACTGCAGTCACTGCATGTTTTCTCTTACTTTTACTGTAGGTCAGTCACATTTGTACAGATTATTCCTGAAAAAGACAAAGGAGAGCGTCACTCAGTAACATTTCTAATAACATCAGTGATACAGTTACTAATCTGAGAAATAGCTCTTTACTTCCTTAGACATTGGTTTGGTTGCTGTAAGTATCAACTGACCACTGGGATTGTGACAGCTTTTGAAGAAACAAATCTCTTTTTAACGCTGACATCATATTTTTCAGCTCATCTAGCTGAGCTGAGAGCTGGACGATTCTCTCTGGTATGAGGATGCAGGACTTTTGAGACAACCTCTCATTTTCTATTCTGGTCCCTGGTGCCAAGCATAGAAAAGTTGTATTAGTCACACATTAGTGAAGTCGTCTGACCCAGTTTGATCTCAACTCTGAACAGTAGACACGGCCGTTGTGTCCTTGGGCATGAAACTTAACCCTCCTTGCCTGTGTATGAATGTGGTGTGGGTGATTGGTGGTGGTCTGAGGGGCCGAAGGCACAGATTAGCAGCTAAAATACTTTCATCTATGGTATACTATTTTAATTCACTGCAGAGAAGTAAGCGTTTGATGTTTGAGCAACCTGTTAGGAGCAGTGGGCCTGGAGAACCCATCTCCAGAGTTAGATTTGAGACTACCTTCACTGGAGGATTTTGCCTATTGTGCTTGAGGCTGATGGGGGGAAACTGAGCATTGAACCCAGAGCCAGGACATATTGTGAAATAAGAGTATAAGGAGTGAAAGTCTCTGTCAGGAATCAAGATCACAATATAAAACTAAGCTATTATTTTAGCAAAATTTGTATTTTTGGAGAGTCAATTATTGTTGGAAAAAAATGAATTTCTCCATTGAGATCTCAGACATAAAGTGATGTCAGTCCTTGTAGTGCTACTAAAATGATGAATGGACCTGTACTGTGAACTCACAAAGAGAAGCTGCTATGAGACCCCCTGCCACCATTGCAATGAGAAAGATGATCAAAAGAAGTGGGCTACACAGCACATGCCTCAGTCAGCACTCTCAAACAGATACAAACATCACACAGTGTTTAACGCAGGGCAGCTCTCATACTGAAGCACTTCACTGTAGATTTTGTGTCACATAAACATAAAGTTTTCTATTCCTGAAGGAAATACTTTTTCTCATGGATGGGAGCTAGACTTCACTTTTGAATTTGTATTATTTATTTTGTTTATTGTTTACATTTGTGGTCCTCGTTTCTGACAATTAGCCTATTTTATGGGGAAAAAAATACAGAACCATGGACATTCATAGATCACGTAGCCCATATCTGTAGCCCATCTCTTCTTGTGTACAAGGTACTTTTCTCTTCTCTGACCATTTAGGTTCATGATATTTTTCAAAAACAATGAATGGATGGAGAATGGATTTTCTATTATTTATCATTTGAAAATACCTCATGTTGCATGCATGTTGTGCATTATTTAATGTTTAACTTTAATGTTAGTCTTCTAAATTACATTAGCGTTAACTAACCTTAAATCATAAATCAGATATGACACTTAGCTAACACTACTCTTTAATAATTAGTAGGCTTGTTTTCCCAAAAATCTCTTTATACTTAACATTAAGCTTGTTTCTTGGACCACTACTTTGTAATTCTGCTTGAGTAGTATTATTTTGAAGTAACATTACTCTTATGTTACTTGAGTGCTTTTGTGACCTTTGACAATAACGATCGCTTGAACTTTTAATTCTGTGACCCAGTGAACTAATTAAACATTAGCTACAAAACTAGATTAGACTGATCTAACGTTAAATATCACTTTTTCAATATAAGTTCATGGCAGTTATTATCATCATAATTATTGAGTTCTTCTGTTACCTGACTTTTGTGTGGCCTCCATTCTGTCTGAAATGCCACCTTCAAGTTTACAAAGCCTTAGATGGCTAATGTACGTAAGAGCATAGAGAGAGCCAGTCGAGCCAATCAAATGCAGTGGCAAATACAAGATTTTTTTCAGATTTGTTCACATTCATCTTCTAGATCTAGAACATGAACATTATAGGAAGTACAAGTTTTAAAAAGGCAATAATAATAATAATAATAATAATAATAATAATAATAATAATAATAATAATAATAATAATAATAATAATAATAATAATAATAATAATTCAAAAGATCTGTACAGTCTATAATTTAGGTTACCATGGCGACGGTCTCTCCCTTGTTCACGTAGTGCTTCTCGAGCTGAACACTAGAGGGCAGTATAACAGAAGACAAGAAACTAAGCACTTCCGCTGTCCAACCAAAACATCCGGTCTCCTTTGACAGTTATGAGAGCACCGTTCTTTGCCCCCCTTACGCATTAAAAACAGGTTTGCAAGATTAAATGCCTTATAGTTTAAAAAAATAATTAATCGTTGCTAGGGCTTGAAATCGACACGAGCACCGGGCAAATGCTGCTAGATTTGGACTCAGAGCACTTCACGGCTTCAAGTAGTGGCAGATTGTTCTTGACTCCAACTTGCATACATTTATAGATGAGAAAAAAAGCATCATCTCGATTACGACACAATATTTTAAAAATGCATGAAGAACGTGCTGACATTTTCATTTTATTTTAGTACTTAAAACATAGATTGAAACATATTAAATATAACATAGAGACAATTGCTGGCATAAAGCAGTACGTTGTTCTCTTAATCACCTAACTAATTATTAGAATAGTAATTTATTCACATGTTTTTTGCAACTCTTAATATTATCGAGCATTATGTGAGAGCTAAAATCCTTGCATATTCTTCACAGTGCATTCTTGCAGCCTGGTATTCATGTTGGCTGATTCCACTTTCCAGAAATTAAAGGTGCCCTCTGCAGCTCTTCTGGTAGAGTGTTGGCTACTTGCTTGTTTCCATGGAGAAGATAGCTTTCTCTGGAAAGTGTAGTATAGTATCTCCATCGAAACAAGCTGGTAGCAGACCCTCCACCAGAAAAGTTTCATAAAACACCTAAACTTAACACCAAAACTGCCTTAGAATAACTGCATCTGCTTTGTACCTGCCTTTTTTGCTTATGTTTTTGTCTGTCTTAAACTGTGTGAAATGTCTTTGAGTGTCATGAAAAAGTGTTATGTATTATTGTTATTATTTTGCTATTTCTGTTTTATACATGTTTTATTATCATTCCTCATAGGGGTGTGCCAGCAATGTCATATGCTTCCCACCTCCTGGTTTCCCACCTGAACATCTACCATGGTCGAGTCCTGCTTATCTCCCCTCACTATTTGGTTCTATTCCGATGGCTCAACACTGGACCACAGATCAGTCGAAGCCTACTGGAGAGCTACAGACTTCTGGAACTGCCCGACCAGGCTCAGAGCAGCCCTGCCCAGGTCAAAGAAGCCTACCTCCGCCTCGCCAAACTTTACCACCCTGACTCCGGATCTCCTACTGCTGACCCTGTGTTGTTCGCCAGAGTGGAAGAGGCGTACAGAGCTGTACTGGCATATCAGAGCAAGAAACAACGCCCCCAGAAAGGAACAGAAGAAGATGAGGAGGAAAAATCGAGGGGCGCCGCTCTCCCACACAGACACTACCTGAGTTACGAAGGATTTGGATTTGGAACGCCGAGCCAGAGGGAACGCCAGTACAGACAAATCCGTGTAGACAGAGCTTCAGAGGAGGTGCTAAACTACCGGCAAAAAGAACACGAAAAAGCTGCAGCGGAGGAGGGCGCACTGGTGGAGCGAGATATGCGTCAGCGCAGTCGTAAAATTAAAATTACCCAAGCCGTGGAAAGGCTAGTAGAAGATCTCATTCAGGAATCAATGGCACGTGGTGATTTTAGGAACTTAAGTGGAGCTGGAAAACCGCTGAACAAATTTGAGCACAATCCATATGCTGATCCCATGACACATAATTTGAATCGTATCCTCATTGACAATGGGTACCAGCCCCCGTGGGTGGTAACTCAAAGAGATATTCGTGAAATGTCGACCCATGTGAGGAATAGGCTGTTAGAAGCTAGGACGAGATTTGGTGACTCTATGACCAATCAGGAAAAGAAGGCCTGGGAGGAGCTGTGTTCTTCCTTGAGAGAGGACGTGGTCAAACTGAATAAACTGGTGGACAACTACAATTTGATAGTTCCAATGATCAAGATGCAAATGGTGCACTTCAGTTTGTCCCGAGAGATCGAGCGGGCGGAGAAATCGGCTCAGCAGCTAAGACTGGAGCAGCAGAAGGAGAGGGGGCAAGATAGAGAGAGGAGAATAGAGGAGAGGAAAAGAGCCAATGCACGAAATCAGCCCCAAACTACTAAACCAGGACTAATGAAATGGATGCAGAGTTTTCTAAAATGATTTTTAGCACAGGATTTATTTCAGTACACTGCTAAGGAAATCTCCTAACATTGCATAATACTTGATGAAAAATATTAATATACTGTATGATTTGTTACAACATTTAAGTTATCTCTGAATGTTTTCATCACATTTTAGATACAGTAAGCTATATGGCATTGGAATTATAATGTTTGTTGTTTCTGTGAAATAATAAAAAATCAATCTGAATGATTTACATGTAACATGTAAATTTAAAATAAATGTATATACTAATGTATCCTGTATTTCATTGCCATGTCTTAATTCTCTAGTACTGATTTTGTTAAACAATAAATTACTCTAAACTTCCCAAGTTTTATTAGTTTATTCAGTGGAATGGGAGTTCATCTGCATTTACAACTAAGATATGATCTTGCAGATTCATATTTGGCCCTCTGAATATGTGAAATCACAAAAATGACGAGAATTCATCCTGCTGGAAAGGCTAATCAATGCCCATGCTAAAATAAATTAAACTTTTTTTTTACCCAGGGAAAAATGCAACTGTGATGCTAAGACTCTGAGCGCAATCTATTACATTTCACATACCACAAAATTTACAAATGGAACATATTATGAGACTTTTAAGGTCCAACAGACCCAATACACGCATCAAGAATCTCAATGACCGGAAGTCTGAGATTCTTGATGCGTGTCTTGAACATTGTTGTGTTTATGTAATGGAGAGAAGATCTTTTTTCAAACAGTCAAACATGCTCCTCTCATTTTTGGAGATAAGCATGCCTGAATTCCATTCAAAACAAGATCTTGATTCATCCATTGACTGCTTGCATTGAAAAATCTACTTTAAAAAAATAAATGACAATCATTGTAAGTAAGTAAGTAAGTAAGTCTTTATTTATATAGCGCTTTCACAGACATTTGCTGTCCCCAAAGACGCTTTACACAGCATTATTCAGCATTATTCATTCATACAGCATTATTGTGACCAACTGTTGAGAGCACAGAGAATTCCTGCTCTCATTTGGATTTTGCAAAAATAGTATTGTGTCATATAACTTATTTAAATTGTGTTGATTGTATGATGTGCATTGTTTTAATGCAAGTTAAGTTGAAATGGAATTTTGAGATGGTTTTCATTATTTTACATTTGTAAAAGGGATTATGAACTAGAATGACCACAACATTTACATTGTAATTAATGAAGAAAGAGTTACTATTGAATAGTATAAGGGTCCAGTCAAGCGGTAACGGAGGGAAACGGGCAGACTTTTTACATTCAAATAGCTCTTATTCAGAAACTAGAGGGACTATTGAAATAAGTAAGGCATTAGAAAGTAGGAAAGAGTTAGCACTCCAATAGGGTAAAGTTAAACCTTCATCAGGGCCCTGATGAAGACCAAGTAGTCGAAACGTGGCGTGACTTTTAATACATTCACAGCAAATCAGAGTGCCTCTGCCATCATTTTTCTATTTTATGTTAAATTGTATATTTTAATATAAAAGTTGCACCTGAGTATAAGTCGCAGGACCACCCAGACCATGAAAAATGTGTGACTTATAGTCAGAAAAATACGGTAGCCAAAGCTGAGGGCCACAGACTGGTGGTCAGTACAGCAAATCATTGTTCATTCAGGCTAAGCACCTTAAAATGCAAGTCTGTCCCACAATTGCCAAGGGAATTTTCTTTTTTGTTGCTGTCGTTTAGATTTTTCGTATTAAATTATCATGAACACCAGAACATTGTATTCTACCATACAGTATGGAAACAATGAAACTTTTTCATTCTTGTATCTCTTCTTGAGTTGCAGGGTTGCAGATAATGGTGGATTCCGTGTTGTTTGCGCTGTTGCCCCCGGTTACCCCTCTGAGAAGTTGACCCACAGCCCTTGTTGGACTCATCTCCTTAGACCAGTCATAGGCGATGTACTGATGGTAGGGGTCATTTGAATTCTCCAGCTTTTTAGATCGAATGTAGCTCATCATGATTCCAAAAGTGAAGAAGCTGAACATGCCGACCACAATGAGAATGTACACGAAGCCTGAAGACTGCTCTCTCTCTGCAGCCTGGAGGTGCAAGGCCTGCTGGGTAGTGTAGTTCTGGGGCTGGTTTGACGTGTATATTCCCGTGTTGTTCAGACAATGGTGCAGAAAGGACAGCAAAAGGGACTGCAGCTCTGTGGTGTTGATGAATGACATGATTGGTGACATCTAGTGGGTAGAAAAGAAACTGCAACTGAGAGAAAGTTAAATTAGAGAAAGGTTAAAAAAATCTTTCACTGTGTAAACATGCTTTATATTTTAATATATTTTACTTATCAGTTAGATGACTAAAAAGCTCAAGCCCAAACTGCACTCACAAGACTAAACCTACATGAGGGTTCATAGAAAAACAACTATTATAAATACCAAATCTCCACCAACTCCTATCTTTGAAAAAATAATTTGACAACTAATACTATAATACTAATACTTTGAGGGACAAGACTCTAAGTGTATTTGATTCCTTTTTATCAGTAGATGCAGAAGTGAAACCTGGCCCCTTCTCCCACTCTCACTTCCAGATAATGGTAATTTAGAGAGCATCTCGAGATGTTATGTGAGAATACTACAGGGTCAGGACAGCCAATCTAATTTCAAATGATGGTTTAAAATGTCATATCTTACCATAAATCCATGTTTGTTGATTGCATTACCCAAAGCAAAGCAATATTATAAAGGTTGAAAGACAGAAAAAGTTACAAAATAAGATATAAATACTTAACTGAATGTTTTTGTTTGTTTGTTTGTTTTGTTTATTAAATTTTCATTATTATTTATTTTTAGTTTTCTTTTCTTCTTTTTTGTTCTGGCACCTGCTTGTCCTTTTTTAAATATATTTAAAATGTTCCACAGAATGGCATTAAATTGAGTTCTGACAAATTGAAAACAAATTGCTTCCTGTTCATCAAAATAAATGCTAGTCTGAGGTGTGATGTTCAATATGTACATTAGAAATGTAAAATTGAAATAGCATATTTCTGTACAGCTAACAAGATAACTTGATATGTATTTTAGTGATTCTGAATAGATAAATAGAATACTTACAAAGCACTGGAAATGCAGTCATTCATTTCATGATAACGCAAATTGTTTAATCAGTATTATTCCGTGTTCTTTCTCATTGACAATTCCTCCAAATGTCCACAGAATGAAGTTAAAGAAGCTGGACCTTTACAGAAATTTGAATCGCCATCTCCTCCCCCTATATCTTCACCATGTCATCACATTTAATGAAAGGAGGAGGTCACAGGGCAAGGTCACAACAGCACAGCCACATGGAGCCTGGTGTGGGCAGTGGCTAAGGAGAACAAAGCAGCTTTCATAGGTTGAAAATGTACTTAAGGTGCTATAACCTCTAAATGTCCCTATTTGAATATGTTTAACTACTTTTACTACTTAAGTAATATATTATATAGTGTAACAGTACTCTTACTTGAGTATAAGATTTGGTTATTCTCCCAACTGTGAGTAAGTCTTCAAGTGACAAAACTTAATGTTGACAGTGTTTCATGATCTGAACATTTGTGTTTCTTGCACTGCTCCTTTAGCCAGCCTGGTGTCACCTTGTGCCTCCGCTCAATTTCATTTCTCTCCAGAGACTAGGTCAGGAATCGGAATACACTAGACAGTTTGCAAAAACCCCAGAAGTGTGAGTCCGGGCACCAGCCAATCAGCGAAAAGCCATACATTCTCTGTTGGCAAAGAATTCCGAGATCGAGGATTTAAAGCCGGAACACAGAATGTTTTGTGAATTTTATCAAGGGGAAAGACGTTATTGCCCTTCTTCCTACGCGATTTGGGAAAAGCTTAATATACCAGTTAGCCCCGTTAGTGGCGCATTACATATGTTATGACCAAATAGCAGCGATTGGTTAAATAAAAAACTTACCTGCCCACCATCAAGCAAACAAATCCTAATGCTGCGAGGTCAGACTGTTTCTACCAAGTGAAACTGGCTGATGAATCAGGATACTGCTCCTTTGGATATGGTTTAGTTTTAAAATTCTCAAATTCTTCATTTTACCCATTTCTCATTTGAAAATACCAGATTTTGAGTTTTATTTAATATCTTGTCTGTTCAGTTACATTAACTACAAATTATGAATCAGCTGTTGCTTCGAAGTGGTCACTCTTAGGTAGTATCCCCGAGTGTTTTTTTTTTTAACTCTTACTTGAATTACTTGAGTATATATAATGCCAATCTTATGTAGTGTGTTATATTTGCTGAAATATTATCAAAATATATAGATTGAAATTAGAATTTTATTTTTGTATATTAGGGACAATGCACAAAAACAGTCTTATATATAAAAAAACAGAATACAGTATGTCTCATGCCAGGTTGATTCATTCATTACAAAGATTACAAGTTTTATATAATAACAAACCTCCACCTCTGCAGTCACTGGGCGCAAAAGAGAAAAAAAAGTATTTAGTCATATGTACTTGGCTGTATCAAATAGCCCTGATGTGCACATTTCTAAGACCAGTCAGTTAACTGTATAACACAAGGAGGACAGCTCAGGTTTCCCTCACAGATAGGGTTACTCCAGCTGCACACCATCGCAGTTGTCTTTGGATTCCAAGAGCCTGAAAAGTCAAAACATAAGTTAAACATAAATCCCTTCTTCATATTATGGCTGAAAGATTTGGGAAAAATATCAAGTTGTGATTTTTTTCAACACACGTCCAGAAAGATACCGGCTATTCATTTTACTGGATTCTAAACAAACGGTATCCACATCAGCCATGAAAAACACATCACATATTTGAGATGCTACAGGCTTTTAACACCATATGTTGAAGCAAATGTGGCAGAAGGACTTTCAGAGGAAATACTTTGAGACCTTCCAGAGGGAATGGCCCATTTCATCTCCAACCAAAACAACAGAGCGTAGAGAGCAGAGATCAAGTCTTTGTTTTACAAGTCTCAAGTAAATCTCAAGTCCTTGACCTCAAGTCTGAGTTAAGTCCCAAGCCAAATACAGGCAAGTCCAAGTCATCTGCTTTGAGCTTCAAGTCATTTCAAGTCTATAAACCAAAGTACTAAATATAGCTTAGATTTTTGGAATTTATATGAATTTTAAGATAAATTGTACTTAAAAAATCATAGTATATTTATATATGAGTATTTATAGAGTATATAAGAGTTGTAGAAATTAATTTTGTTATTTTTTTCTTTTTAAATGTCTTGACAAGATCTTAGTGTGAATCATTACAGTCAGAACAGAAAGAATTCAGATATAAATTTTGATTTCTCAAGTCTTCTCAAGTCACAGGCCTCAAGTCCAAGTCGAGTCCCAAGTCTTAGTCCATTTTATCAAGTTAAGTTTCAAGTCCTAAAAATAGTGACTTAAGTCTGACTCGAGTCCAAGTCACGACTTCCAAGTCCCCACCTCTGGTAGAGAGTGAGGCCTTTCCTGCTGTGTTCACGTGGCTCCCCCTGGACCCTGCTGTGATGCTTCTCTTTTGGCTCTTCCTCTCCTCAAACTGCCCTGACACAGATCTGCTGACCCTACCTGACCTGTCCTTCTGTTAAACTGAAGAAAACTGAGAAGTGCAGTGTAAATATTGCTGCAGCAAAACTTGAATTTCCTTCTAGATCAATAAAGGTTCTCTCTCTCTCTCTCTCTCTCTCTCTCTCTCTCTCTCTCTCTCGCTCTCTCTCTCGCTCTCTCTCTCGCTCTCTCTCTCTCTCAGATGGGACACAGTTAGAAGTTACAGGGCCTAATTGCTAATAGAAATGATTTGTTAAAAATGAGTAAATTTACATTTTAAATATTTTTAAGAGATATAACAGTATAAAAATAAACAAGGGGAGCAGGACATCATCGCTCTGTAGAATCTGAAAAGCCTGTAGCCACTTACGCCTGCTCCTGGGCCCGGAGAGCCTTCCTGGCTTCTCTCCTCTCGTGATCAGCGGAGATCTTCTTGTAACAGTAAACTAGGACCACAATGAGCCACAGCTGCAGAACCACAATCAGCACAAACATCATGATCTCTGATATCACTGCTGTCAGCTCCCGATTAGCTGAAACACAAAGCACAGATGTCATTAGAGTAAACAAGGAGAGCAAGGGGCTATGACATCCATGGGTCTATGACATATTTCATGTCTTTAGGCTTGATACTTTGCAGTAACATCATGCTGGGGGTGTTCTGCATGTATATGTATGGTAGAATGTTTGAAGTTTCTATAGTGATATAGCTAGGCTAGAGCCACCTAGTGCCTCCCCTCAATTTCATTTCTCTCCGGCACCTAGGTCAGGAATCAAAATACAATAGACTGTTCACAAAAACCCCAGAAGTGTGAGTTCCAACACCAGTCAATCAGGGAAGAGTGATATATTCAGTGTTGTCAACGATTCCCAAGACCGAGGATTTAAAGCCGGAACAAAGAGAATGTTTGGTGAATTTCATCAAGGGAAAGATGTTATTGCCCTTCTTCCTATGGGATTTGGGAAAAGCTTAATATACCAGTTAGCCCTGTTAGCAGCGTATTACATATGTCACAACCAAATAGCAGCGATTGGTTAAATGATAAAAAGTACCCACCTACAGTAGAGCAGATGAAATCTAAGGCTGCGAGGTCAGACGGTTTGTACAAAGTGAAACAAAGTAAAACTGGCTGATAAATCAGGCTAATAGTGACACAATGCACACATTAAAACATAGTCTTGAAAATTCAAGAAAATATATAAAATGGATTTAAACAGCACGTTTTCAGGAGCCTGTGATCAACATGAGCATTCATGGTCCTGTTTAGGAGCTTTGATTTTCAGCCAAATCATAAAGGTGAGAGTGACTAATTGAAAAACTGATGACTAATTTTAGATGGCCTGTGACTGTAATTTTATGTGTAAGAGACTTGTTTAACAGCACATATCATTTCAGCAGTTCTAGTTCCTGGTAAGTTTAGTTCCTTACGGGGGTCAGGTTGTGTTAAAATAAAGCTTGGATTAAAGTCTAACTTAAGTAACAGAGCTTTAGACAGAGCAGTGTCTTCAGTTAGCATCACACCCCCAGAGAATGTTGATGACCTCAGCTGCAAAGTATCATCAGGCATAGATAGGATTCTGAGAAAGATGTATGCTTTCCAAAATTGCACGATACACAAAATCACATGTTCTGCTCACTGGAGCTTATGCAATGAAATCAATATTTACAGTTGTTCACCTTGACAGCAAAGGGACTGCTTTTTCTGACACTGGAAAGCTATGAGAACATAAGTATATTTAAAGGTCCTATATTACACAGAATTCAGAATTTTGTGAGCTTAAAGTCATATCAGAATGTTTTCACCTACTCAAAAACATACCTGGAGTTGTGTTTTGTTCACACAAGTTTGAGTAATCCTAGTCTGTCTACATTTCCATACCTTAACATGCGTAGTTTTCAAATTAACAGCTACCTATTAGTTTTTGTTCGGTAGTGATTGGCATTTCCAGGTCTAAAATCATCCAAATGATTCTAGTGAAGGTTTATGGAGTTTAAAAACACAGTGGGGCACTTCCTATATTACCACACGACATGACAATGTGGAACATTGTCATGTCGTGTGTTTTCAATTTGAGAGAAGAACTCAGCCTAAATATGCAGAGTCTATGTGATAAACATGAAACAAAACACAACTTCAAGTGTGTTTTTGATGCAGAAATAACATTATAACATAGATCAGAAAATAGTATAATATGGGACCTTTAAACTCTAACTTGCGTAATAGAGCTTCAGACAGAGCAGTGCCTCTAGTTAACTCTCCCCCTCCTCACCGCGTCAACTAGAGCTACATGATTTTAAAGGGCCTCCTCTGACCTACAGCCACCACGGTCAGCTCCACCTCCTTCTCCACAGTGACCTTCTCGTTCATCATGGGCAGGTAGAGCGTGCGGTGGAAGGTGCAGAGGTAGGTGCCCGTGTCGTTGAAGGTGACATTGCTCAGGTAGATGGCGCCAATCTGGATGTCGGCGTGCATGGTGCCGTGCCACTCCAGACGCCCGCTGAAGTCTTCATGGAGGATGTCTGCGGTGGGGTGCTCATAATGGAAGATCTAAGAAAGAAGAGAAGAACATAAAATAAAATAAGTATGTTGTGCAGATTTGATACAGAGGTGTATAGGTTATGAAAGTGCATAGGACAGTTGGCTCAACATTTTTGTGAAAATCAGAATAGCAATGACAGTCTGCTTTGCAGATAGATTTTGGGGATACACTTCAAGAATTAAATCAAAGAGAAGCTTTATGGAATCATAAATTAAGAGCATGTGAATGTCCTGGACTGAATGAGGACTTTATTACCTCCGCCAAGGAGGTTATGTTTTTGCCGGCGTTTGTCTGTTTGTTTGTTTGTTTGTTTGTCTGTTAGCAACATAACTCAAAAAGTTATGGACCGATGTTGATGAAATTTTCAGGATTTGTTGGAAATGTGAAAAGGAAGAACTGATTTCATTTTGGGGGTGATCCGGAAGAAATCCTGGATTCTGGATCACTTTGAAATTTTAGTTAACATTGTGGTAAATGGGGCCAAAAATTTAGTTTCTCAATATCTTGGTTAATTATTGACCAAACCCCATGAAATTTGACTCAGGGATGGACAATGGGATCCTCTTTCATATTCCAAAGGCTGATCTAGATCTGATCCAGAAGACTGATTTTATCGCAATTTATATAAAAAATGGGGGTATTCCTTGGCGGAGGTCTGCGCTCTCTGAGTGCTTTTCTAGTTTGTCTTGCTTTTTTGTAAATGTTATATATGTATATTTTTCAATTATTTGTATTATTACATTTTTCATTGGTATTAATATTATTATCATCTATACTTTTTGTTTGCCTGTGCCATATTGCATTTCTATACCTGCCTTGTGTGTCTCTAATTAAGTAATCTAATTAATCTAATTATCTGTCCTTATCATTGGTTGGTGTGTTTTTAAAGGCCATGCCCATGCTTCAATTTTTAACCAAGCCCTGATGAAGACTAGCCATAGGTGAAACATGTTGGCTTTGGCCATTTAACTATACTTTTCCATGTGCAACTTTTACTTTTTTGGAGTGCCTGGATTTTATTGTGCCCAATGTATAGGACAGTTGTTTATATTTTTATAATTATTACATGGTTTGGTGGGATAGTGCCTATGGTAAATACAGTATATATCATAGTGTAACATTTAGTTAGTTTATTTATTTAATGAGACAGGGACAGTGCACAATATACATTAACCTTAACAGGAGAGATGCATTGTACCAGGTTGTAGCACCAGTGCTAATTTCCACCTGTCGTCCCCGAGTAGGTTCATTGATTGATTGTATTTAATTGACCTTAGCTATCAACTGTTCTTCCTGGAGACCTGTGCAGCATATTTTAGGTTGATGAGGGAAACCGGAGTGCCCGGAAGAAACCTATCCAGACACGTGGAGAAACATGCAAACTCCACACAGGAACCTTCTTGCTGTGAGGCATGAGTGCTAGTCACTCTGCCACTGGGCCGCAACAAATGACACATGTTAAGGAGCATTTTACCACCTTCAAGACACTCAAAGCAGACACTCAAAGCAGAGCAAGAAACCACTCACCCACTCACCCCTTCACACTCTCACTCATACACCAGTGTATGCAGAGTTGAGTGTCTTAAGTGTCTTACCCAAGGACACAATGATACAATGATACACCACTCAGCAAAGTATGCCTGACCTCTCAACCAATGATATTTATGTTCACAATTATGCAAATAGAGTAGAAGAATAAAAGTATGTTGTGCAGATTTAGAATAAAGGTGTATACGGTATTTCAAGTTTTTTGTTTTGTTTACTTACTTATATATTGTACAATATTGACTTTACATCACAAATAGTAAAATCAAATTTTATATCAAAATGACACACACACAAAAAATGAAATAAAACAACCACACCAACATTGTCAATCTAAATAACAACACCAACAAAAAGAGTTGCCCATCCTGACAATCCATATACATTATGTGCCCAAATAATTTAAAAGAAAGGAATTAATTGGAATAGAGGAGAAGTGTCATTCTGATATTCTCAAATTTAATAAAATATAAAACATCCCTAAGCCACTGTGTGACTTTCATTTTAGTAAGAAGTATTGAAGTTCTTCATGTTTTTATAATTATTACATGGTTTGGTGGGATAGTAGCCTTGGTAAATATTTATCATAGTTTTATATCTGTTAATTTGAGGAAAAAAGTAGAAAAAAGTACAAAAATACAGGAAGCTGACTTCTAAAAGGGAATACCTCGGCCTATGTTAACAACAATGGAAAAATACTTCCGACACTTTAAACCATTATTTAACATAATAAAGGTGAACTATATTTATTACTCTAATCGTAACTATTACGTAAATATTGTATGATTATATAACCTCTTGTTAATATTATAGTTGCTAGGTAACAGTTATGGAACTACCTGTACATAAGTCACATGATATCTGCAGCCCCTGTCTAAAAAATAAATAAATAAATAACATTCACTCTTCTCTTCACATTGTGCAAACTGTATTCAGTCAATGTCAGTGGAAATAGATAAATAGATGCTTTATTGATCCAAAAGGAAATTCAAAGTAGCAGGAATACATGGAACAAGCCAGTTTATTGCACTACTACTAGCAATGCTATTGCAAAACAAATATTTATTATCAACAATGGAACCACTCGGATAATTAAAATCCCCTCCCTTTCATTATGCTAGCCTCCTCATGTACATAGTGGATATTGTTTTGCATTGCTAATAGACTGAACGGATGCTGAATGAATACTAGTATGGCTTACAATAACTAGGCCTATATGTTTGTGGTTGTTATTTTTGATTGAAGTGGTATCATAATCAGCGGTGCAAGGTAACAAGGTAAAAATACAATAAGTGCAATTTTTAGGGATCTGTCAGTTTCACAGTGGATACCTTTTACTTTTACTTGCTACATTTGAGTTCAGGTATCTGTGCTTTCTACTCCACTACATTTTTGGACTGGACTGAAAAGCAATAACTTTTCATTATGGTGTGATTAAAGACATATTTTTAGGACATTTATTTAGTCAGTGTCTCAACTTTGAGCCAACCAAATCCACAAAAACACACTAGAAAAAATAAGAAATCAATTGAATCGCTTAAAATCAGCTAAATTCTTTATAAAAAGTATTACATTTGATGCTTTCATTGTTTCAAGTTATAATATGACACTGGCAAATCTGGTTCATAAAGCTTTGTGTGGTGTTTGTACTCACGTGCCTGTAGTCCTGCTCTCCTGAGGGTCTGAAGTGCCAGTCCACAGAGGTCCAGGCTGACACTTCCTCCCTCCTCTTACAGGAGATACAGCCCAGGAGGAAGTTCTCTCCAGCCACAGCTTCAGTCATGGAGTCCACCTCAGCACAGGCGCCCAGGGCATCAGGCACTATAATCAGAGAGACAGAGACAGTGTAAGATATGAGCTACTAAATACTGCTTCTGCTGCTGCTACTACTATTTTTTAATTTATTTAATTTGATTTAAAACAAGGACAGTACACAGAAAAAGATGTTCTGTGCCAGATTTAGTTACAAGCAACTTTCCATCTGCAGTCCTTGGGCAGGTACAAAATACATTAAGTAAAACTTACTACTATGACTACTACTACTACTACTACTACTACTACTACTACTACTACTACTGCTACTGGCGCCCAGGGCATAGGGCACTATTATCAGAGGCAAAGTATGTGAGAATAAATGAGCTACTAATTACTGGTTCTGCTACTACAACTATTACTGCTGTTACTACTATTACTAATGCTACTCCTAAAACTATTTCTGTCACCACTACGACTACTACTACTACGACTACTACTACTACTACTACTACTACTACTACTACTACTACTACTACTATTACTACTACTACTGCTACCTAGTCATAGGGCACTATAATCAGAGACAGAGACAGTATGTGAGAATAAATGAGCTGCTAAATACTGGTTCTGCTGCTACTACTACTATTACTAATATTACTTATGCTACAACTAAAACTACTACTGCTACTACTATAATCAAACAGAGAGACAGTATGTGAGAATAAATATAAACTTCAGAATACTGTTTCTCCTACTACTATTTCTGCTACCACTTTAATTCATTCTATAAACCTGATTCAAAACATCCATACAAGCAATGTTTATTTTTTTGTTTTACATTTGCCAGGTTTTGAACTGGGTAAGTAACTATAGGTAATATGACTTATTATATTGTTCTCAGGACATCAGATGAAACTTAGCTATTGTGCTGAGTAATGCATATTTACTGTATGTAGAATCTGCTGAGAGACACACTAAAGCGTCTTTCTACGTGTATATCACTATTATTGTTGTGCCATCTATTACAATGTTAAATAGATCTTTTTAAAATAAACTATTCCTTTACTAAAAAATACTAAATGTACCATTATAAACATTAAAGTAAATAACTTTCTAGAGGTAGAAAGTCAACTGCATGATTCCACAGAAATATAAGTAAAAAAAACATACATCAGAAAATTCTCCAGATAGAGAGTTTTATGCCATACTGTGGAATATTATAGCCAAAGGAACAACATTTCCATGGAAACAAGCAGGAAGAGACCTTGCTCTAGGTCAAGTACGAGTCAGATTTGTGGACATACAAGCCTGCTCACGTAAGGACATGTTTATCTATGTTTCTGAGTGCAATAAACATATCCATAACCAAATAACATGCTTTTATTTTAGGATATTTATTGGTTTGTCAAAAAGTTACATACTGAGGCTTTAGTATTCTGATTTGTCCAGAAATTATGGTTATTGGCTTATTCTCTCAATTTTAAACTACATACATGTACAACTATTCTGTATTTTATTATTACTTGGAATACTAACTAAAACTTTCACACAAATCAGTACACAGCAACGCCCAAGTTCCAGATACAAGTTTACACATATTTTACTATTTTGAAACATAAACAAATCCACACTTCCAAGCTTGAAGACTCACCAAAGAGACAGAGGACAACCAGGAGAAGAAGCCTGCATATCATATTTTAACATGAAACCAAAGCCTCAAAATCCTCTTGTTGCTATAACTGC